CGCAATCGGTAAGCCCCCTGATGGATTCGTCTACGTCCAACAATCTAGCTTCCAAGAGGGAGAGTCGACTATAATAGAACGTCCATCAACAGTCCAGGTCAAGTGTTCAATCCTTCCTGGGAACGAGGCATTATTTTTGACTTGGGTAGTAGCTTACTGGGGAGAGCTGATTCTCTTAGAGTACATGCTAGGCCGGCAGGTGATAATAGCTGGGTGATAATTATTATACATGCCAGTTGAAGTGAAAGATGTTTTCCTCGGAGAAGAGGAAACCTCTTCACAGAGCTGGTACTGGCCCTCAGTGAGGAGGATGCCTCTTAGGAGAGCCGATCAAAGCCGTGTCAGCTCGCCGAAAATGTATCCTGCTCACCGAGCTGTGGAGTACAGATCGGCCGAGCTTGCCAAGCAGGATATGTCCTCACTGTGCTCTATGCCCCCTGAACAATGATATATCATGCTTGGCAAGCTGACACAGACCAGGCCAGCTCGAGCCTCAAATTTCAATGTGAAGAGGGAAGCTGTTGGACCGCACCCAACGGCTCCAACAAAACTCGAATGGCGATACTCAAAAGTCGCGCAACCCGCTCGCGATTCCATGGCAGTAGTCTCAGTCAAGTGGTTTCGAAGGTGTACCTTCAATTGTGGAGGGCGTCCTTTGAACGATTCGCGAATTATTATCAAGAATTGTACCTTGTCAAGTTGTATCCCCCAATGGCGAGCTGGACCGGTCTGTACTCCACAACTCGATGAGGAGGATGAACCCTCGGCGAGCTGGTATAGCTATTCAGTTTTTCATGCTCACAAGGACTCGAGAGGGATCCACTCTCCTCACCGAAGGCCTTTACCAGCTTAGCGAAGAATAAATACATGCATCTTCTTCAAAAAAGGTATGCGCTCAATGGGCTGGAACAGTTACAGGAGGGGCTTTTTTGAGTCGTTGGCCGCAGAATTGTCTATTTTTTCCCTGACATTACGGGCCCGGAACCTACTTATACCCTTGAATCATCAGTGAAGTCACCGGCCCCGTAGCGCAATCGGTAAGCGCCTGATGGATGCCTATGCGACCACCATTCTGGACACCCAGGAGAGCGTACTACAGCAGAACATCCATCCCCAGGTCGGCTGTTCAAGCCTTCCTGTAAACGGGGTTGAATTTTTCTTGTGAGCTGAGCGACGGAGAGATACCTTTCTTGCCGGTGGTGCCACCAGCTCGTTGAACAACAATCTTTCCGCGAACCGGTGCGGGATTTACCTGTTTATTGAAGAGGTACCCAGCTCAGCGGATGATGATGATGTGGGATGATGACCCTCCTCCAAAGAGCTGAATTGCTGATCTTTTCCTTTGGTGAGGAGGACCCTTTTCGGCAAGCTGGTACAAGCTGTGTGCTCGCCGAGGTGTATCCCCCTCCACCGAGCTATGAGTATGGAGTACAGACCTGTCTAGCTCGCCCGGGTCGACATGTCCTCGCCGAACAGGCACAGGCCATAGCTATACCTGCTCGATCAGATTGTAGGTGAGATAGCACATAGCTTAATAACTCAGCAACCATGCATCCTTGTTGGTGAGCTGTTGCAGCCTCTAAATATCAGCTCGATGCTATCGAATGGCCTCCTATGCCGCTTCCTAAATTGAGGCGGTGCCCCCGATAGTCGCGCGACCCGCTGGCGACGTCCTCCTTGCTGGAGTGAATATTGCTTGACATCCCCCCCAAAGAAAAAAAAGTTCAACTCCTGGCTTTGACCAAGGATGATGACAAATTAAAACAATGCAATTGCTTATCTCTATACAATGGATATTTTCTCATCAAAAGGAAAGGTGAGAAATCAAGTGCGGTGGATCCACTCGTGGACAAGAGGAAATTGATTGGAACCAACTTCAAGATCATCATCTACTATTCAATGACTACTTTTACAACAAACCTATAGTCCCAGAAGATTTCTTTCAGTCAGAATTTCAGGATGAGACAGTTTGTGTTTCTTGAGATTGTGGAGTCCATTTTTTGAGGAGGAAAGTTACTTTGTTTAAAAGAGAGATGCTGCTGGCTGCTTGTTTTTTTTTTTTTTGATGTTACAGAAGGCAACTGCCACTTCAAGGATGCCATCCTATCTTTACAATATTGGTTCAGTTGATAAATACATGTAAATAAGTAAGCCTTCTCCTTTTGCAGGTTTAAAGAAGCAACTCAATGGATTTCAGATTGAAAAACATTTGATCCCAGGTGAAATTACAGAGCTAGAGACCCACAAGGGTTGTTGTTGTCTACCCATTAAAGTGCTGTGTACAGCATAGATTAATTAAAAACCCTGAATGAAGAATATTCAGGAAGAATTATTTCTTTTTCCAAAGAAGGAAGTTTTTACTCAGGATGATTGGCTTGTTAGAATGGATGAACTAGTGTTGTAAAAACTTCCAAAAGGCAAACAATGGGACTTCTGGAAATGAAAAAGAGCCAACAGTGGTGCTTGAAGCTGTAGCAACCCATCCATTTTTTTCCTTCCAAGAGCACTCAACAACATCAACTTTCTCAACAAATCCCCATCTCTTCCAGAAAGCTAAGGATGGTGCTGGTTCTTAGTAGGTTTCTTACAAGGTGAACAGAAACACATAAAGCCTTCCTATTTTATCAAAATACAAGTAATTCATCATGGAGCTCACACAACCAAATTTGCCATGAAGCAAGAGTACTACAATACTTCTGAAAACCATGTGAATACAATGAATGGACTATTGTAATGAAACAAAACAAAACCACCAAAATTGCCAAAGCAGAACTAAAACAAATGGTATTTCTAAGGAAGAGGATGATATCAATTGTGAATTCTTTCAACTGCAAAAGGGGGTAATTCTGGCTGATCTTTTGTGAGAAAATCAAACAGAGACAGAGACCATAAGCAGAGGAGGCAATGTTGCAAGGGACACAGGTGGCAGGACTGAAGGTTCACAGTTTTTTTTCATTTTTTAGTGCTTATTGATTAAACTTTGTCAACCTAAGTGAACTGATGAGTAGTATTTATATACATGTATTTGAAAAAAAATACATGATTGAATATTTTATAAACAATATTTCTAACAATGAGTGATGAATAAATGGTTCTTTGTGAAAAATCTTTGTGAAAAAGAAAAAGGAAAAGCAGCTCAAAAAAGAAAAATTGAAAGAAAATCCAAATCTTTAAACAAGTCCAAAACTTTGCAAAAGTTGTTTCCAATCAGCTTTTTTTACTACTGTGGCCCAGAAAGTGTGTCATGTGGTTGCTCAAGCCACATACACTGAGGATTAAAGTGGACAGAAAGTCAATTGGAACCAACCTGATATTTCCCCCAAATACAACTAGAAAGTGATGAAATCTCATTTTTATGCGTGTTTTTAAAGACAAGAAAAAGAAAAAAGAAAAAGGTAAGGATAAACAAAACCAATAAGTTGATGACTTTTTTCATTCTTCTTTGATATTTATTTTGATTTTTTTGAAACAATTTGTGCCTGGGATGAATTTAGGAAGTGAATCAAAAACCAAAGGATTATTGAGTCAATCTTTTAGTGAATTTGGAATCCTGGATTGATAAAGTCTCTGTAAAACAAGCATACCAGAATGACTGTACCTCTGGCCACATCTTGGTATTGGAAGATGAAAATTAAAGTCTTCCAATATGAATACACTGCTGTATTTAGTCTTTTCACAAGTATTTCCAAGGAACTTGACCCGTACTCCCTGTGTCTGGCTGTATTATGACCTGAGTGGTATCACCTCCAAAACAGTTTCATCAAGTTTCATAACAGACTCATCTGGAATATTACTTCACTTGAGAACTATCAGAGCTGCCAGGAAGAGAACTTGTAGTGGATTCCAAAAATCTAACAGCATCCGCATTGGTTGGCTATTTCCACTTGAGCTAAGGAATTTAGCCACCAATGTCAACCACACCGGCAGCGGTGGGCCGCTACGCTACACTACGCTACGGGCCCATGTAGCGTTAGCGTAGCGGGGCCATTTTTTTCACGTAGTGTTAGCGCGCCACTACGGCCGCTGCGCTACGCTAATTCGTAGCGGCGCTAACACTCGCCAATTTTTGGTGTAGTGTTAGCGCGCCTCTGGCGCCGCTACGCTACAGCGTTTTTAGCGGCAAAAAACGCCTAAAAACCGCTAAAAACTGCTGTAGCGCAGCGTAGCGGGCGGTTTTTTGCGCCCTGCGCGCGTAGCGTTAGCGCAGATGGGGGGAATTGCGCTAACGCTACGCTAAACGCTAGCGCAAGTTTTTTCCCCATGCGCGTAGCGTTAGCACAGAAAATGAGAAAAGTGCTAACGCTACACTAAATTGTAGCGGTTTTTCGCTACACTGTAGCGGTTTTTTGCTACACTACGCTACAGTTAGCGTAGCTGGGCCCAACGTTGACACCGGGTCAAGTTTACAATGAGCTAACCTGGCTATAAGCTAGATATTCAGCTAACCCTTGCTACATGTAGCAAGGGTTAGCTTCAGAGCTAAATCTTGAGCTAGAGCCAACATAACTACTCCAAGCTATCTTCACCCTTGGACCTCCCACTTCATTTTTCCAGACTACAACCCATCCGTACCGCCACACCTCCAATCACACCTCTCCATTCTCAAAATGGCACCACAACGTCCCAACTGGCTCCCACCCAATGACGCACAACTCGCAAAAAGCTGGCTCAAGATATCACAGGACAGTGTCCTATCGACCAACCAAAAGAAAGATGACTTTTGGAAGAGTGTTGCTGAGGATTACAATGCATATGCAAGTGGTGTTGGACGCGAACCAAGCCACTGCATGTACTGGTTTGTTCCTTTCTCATTTCATTGTGTTTGTTGGTTTATAATGATATGTTTTCCTCCTTTTGTTTGGTTGGGGACACATCCAGAAAAGCACTTTGGAGTTTTGTGTGATATATCAGAAGCTTGAAAAAAAATTGACCCTCCAGTTCCGTCTTGACCAATCTGCTTCCCAATGCCATGAAGGCACATTATGAACAAGAAGGAAAACAGTTTATATATGAGCAAGCTTGGCTTGTACTCAAGGACTTGCCAAAGTGGAGCAACCTCTCTCAAAATCGTAGCACTCAAAACTCAGATGGCCCCATTTCCACTCTGACACTGTCCACTCCAGTGGTTCAATCAGAGGCCAGCCCTGCCGTTTCTCAAACTTCAAAGAGGGAAGAAGACTTACCTGATGACTTATCAAAGGAGTTTCTGAGGCTACAAAAGGAAATGATTGTTCACGATTTGTGCGAACAAGTTGAGCAGCAACAAAAATTGGCTGCCCAAAAAGCAAAAGAAAGCAAACAATCGGTTTCTTCTTCAACTCAAGCGGCAGCATCCTCCTCAACTCAAGTTGTAACCTCATCCTTGCTTCCAACTAGTGAACCCAAAAGCTCCAAAGAATCAAGTTCTGATGTAGATGATGAGATTTTAGAAGAGATCAATCCTACCCTTGAATAAGCCCTCTAATTTTGATCTGCTCAAATTTCCTGTTTTCTTTCTCACTTTCTTCTCACATTACACAAACAGAAAAGAATAAAAATAAGTTATCATTTTAATTGGTTTACTTTATTTCTCAATACAAGCAACCAAGTCAATTATTGCCTTGTTTCCTAGCCCCCAAACGTGCCCAATTGAAATCAATTAGATCATTTGTAAGCCTTTGATGTTGAGCACCAGGTCTAAGTTCAATCGTTCAGAGTTGCTGTTCTTGGAAGGTGTATGGTTGAGTTTGAGGTGGAATGAGAGTAACACAGCGAGGCAATTCAAATGTATCGGTCAAATCTTGTTCTTGGTCCTCCACAATCATATTGTGGAGGATCATACAGGTCCTCATGATCAACACCATGTCTTCAGGATTTTCAGAGTCAAGGCAGTAATTTGATAATTGCCCAGCACAATTGCAACACTCCAAAGGCTCTCTTGATATCCTTTCAAAAAGCTTCTTGCAGCTTTTTGAAGTGCTGGGAGGGAGGATCTTGAGATACGCCTTTTGCTTTGATGAGGGTTGACCAATCAGGATAAATCCCATTGGTAAGATAATAAGTGTGCTTGTATTTTCTCCCACATACTTCAAACTTCGCATCCCAACCAGTCCCTGCAATGTGATTCTCGAAAATAGGTGATTGATGAATTATGTTGATATTGTTCAGTGCTCCAGCCGTTCCAAAGAAGGTGTGCCAGATCCATAATTGTTGATTGGCCACAGCTTCTAATTCAACAGTGGGTTTCTTTTCTTTTCCTTTATACTGCCCAGCCATTGCAGCTGGGCAGTTCTTCCATTCCCAATGCATGCAGTCCAAGCTGCCAATGCATCCCAGAAATCCCCGTCAATAATTAACAGCCAGAATGCGTATCAAGTCATTGCAGTTGGGCTGTCATAGATATTTCTGACTGTATAGGCTATCAATTGTGCTAATGAATTTCTTCAAAGTTTTCCGCGTGGTTTGTTCACCAATGCAACAATACTTGTCTGTTGCATCCATTGCACAACCATAAGCTAGCTGTCAAAGTGCACATGTTATTTTTTGGAAGCTTGACAAGCCAAGCTTTCCAGGACAGTCCTAGACAAATAATAAGATATCAGGAAAGCTTGTATACATCATCAGAATCCAAAAAAAGAAGTACCGGTTTCTGAATGAAATAAGGGCAAGCAGATTCCACATCACATGCAATCTTGAGGAATAGGTCCTTCCTGAGTTGGAATCGTTGTACTTTGAATTTTTGGTTTAAATAGTCATCCATGAGCTTTTTGTGCCCTTCAACATGGCTTTGTTCTTTTTTTGGCCGGTGTTGGACTGGATGATCATCCTATTTATCTTCATCGCTTTCTAAATCAAAGTCCTCAGAAGAGCTGGTCTCTTCTTTGTCTTCATCCTCTGTGTCTGATGCAAACAACTCCTGGAGTAGCTTATGTCACTTATCAGTGCGGTTAAACATGGTTGGATGAGCTAGCTAGTGTGGCTTGGGGGTTTAGCTGACACCAATGTAGTTGACAGGGCTGTGCTAACTTAGTTTTGCTAATTTCAAATTTTAGCTGCAAGCAAAACTAACCAAACCAATGTAGATGCTCTAAAGGAATGGAAAATTTTTCAAGGAGAAGTAGAAGAAATTTGTTAGCAAAGCCAAAAAAACTGGTATTTGGTAATTTTGGAAGAATCCTCCTGTGCCAGAAAGGAGGCATTGAATGCAAGTCTCTCCCTTCTGTCAGTGTAGGTGACTCCTTGAGATAAGTGAATACAGGCTTGGGGTTAAGTTTGTTGAGGATTTGGGTGAACACTTTTTTTAACCAAAAAAAAATTGGAATTACATTCCCAAACATTTTGACCTCAGCTGCAAGTACAAATTATCATGTAAGCTCTAAATTACCTAAGTCCCTGGCCCCCTTTGTTGGAGTGACAAAACAATTGTGTTGCACCAACCATAGGGAGTGACTTCCATCTTAAGTCAACCCCACAGCCTGAGAGCATTAGGATTTTTGGCTGGGTGTATTTCGTAATCAATCTGACACAAATTTGGCTGATTAGTTTTTCTTCTAGTTTTCCACATTGCTGATGTTCGAAGCTGTCCCCATCTACGTCCAAACTTTGATAATGATAAATTCATCTCCTTGATTAATAATGGTGATTGTAACATTGCCAATTTCAGATACTGTGCAGTGCAAAATGTGTGATGCAGGATGAAGCAGGAAAATTGTTGTCACAAAAAGGCAAGTTGAATACCACCCAAGGGCCTACAAAATACAGAAAAACACAGAATGATGCTCCATGATCTTGTTCATCTTTTTCTTCTCCAAAAACATGGTCATCGGCGGGAAAATGGTGCTGCTGCACATGATTGAAAAAAGTGGTTTTCCTAATTCTCTCAGGCTTTGGGCATGAGTCCCTCCTTTGTGGGGAACCTGCAGGACAGTGTTCCCCCCTCCACTTGGAGGGACTTAGTTAAGTAAGGGTTAGCAACAGTTTAGTTAACAAAAAGTTTGATTTGAGGTTTGGAGTCACTAAATTTAGCAATTGCTAACTAGAAATTTAGCAATTTTGTGGGTAGTTAGTCCTCCAAGGGTTTGTTAACCCATATGGATGTGTTTGACAGCATTAAGCTAGCTAACTTGGAATTCCAAGAGCAACTCCACCACAGACAGTAAATTGGATCCCTGGTTCAAATTTACCCACTCAACATGAGCTACTGTGGTTGCTATCTGTGTCTCAAATCTACGGACATTCCTAAAATTTGTTCCCAGGTCCCTACATGTAAGGACTCCTAGAAAATACTCTGTCAACTCCCCAATCCCCTTTAACCTAACAACCAGATTGTGAAACTCTTCTCCTCCACCTCAATTGGTTCCCAAATTCGCAGAATTCATCATCCAGTACATATACAACATCAATTTGTAGTGTTTGGATCATCCAATGACCAACCTTGAAAATCAAACAAGCCTTGTTAACCCAACCTTTGCATAATTCCCACATACAGAATTTGGAAGAGGCACCTCTGTGATAAATTGTAGAGGGACTTGCACCAAATGTGAAGTTTGAAGTGTGACAGCAGAAAAGAGCTTTGGTGTAGAAAACCTTATTTCTAGCCTACACCTCTTGCATGAACTTGACTCTTTTGTGGGATGAGATAATAATGGCATGAGCCATCCCAACATTTCCATGTACTCCATTTTTTGATGTTGAAGATTTCTGTTTTTTTTTTTTTTTTTTTTTTTTGAAAACTGAAGATCTTCAAGGGTTTCTTCTGGATTCCATAAGCTGAATATCAAGTCAAAACCTGCATGACTCAAAACACAAGCCATTTTGCTTGGTTTTCTTTTGTAGCTACAAGATCAAGATTACAAGGGTGCAGAAAATGGAAGACCAAAAGATGCAGATCTGAAAAAGGAACAGATCTGTCTTTTGGGATAATATTATAGTAAATAGGGGTGTTATTTGAATTTTTTCAAAGAGGTAAATGACCTAAATTCAAAATGCTGCCATGCACTGACCTTGAATTTGGGCCTAAGCCTCTCTACAAGATTGTTCCCTATAACACACACCCACAGAGGCTGCTTAAGAGCAATTCCACCGCGGCCCCTACTTCTGGGCCGTAAAATCTTGATGTGATGATTGGGTCCATGCAGCCAGTTTTACAGTCTCAGAGTCAAACTACTGCGGCATACATTGCAACTCGGAGGAGTGGTTTGTAAAATTGGATGACAGGTGTGGTGTGTGAGGGTTGGGTTTCACATATTGTTGTTGTGTGAAAGTGTTGTTTGTAGGTCGTAGGTGAGTCACATGTGAGGACTCGTGAGGAGATTTTATGGACTACCGTAGATTTTAGCAACCTTGGTGGGTTGTGTTGAGTCTATAAATTCCACCTACGGCCCTGATTTACAGCCCAAGGTGGAGTTGCTCTAAGATTGTTGATAAACGGTGATTGGTCACACTGGTTATCAACAGAATTACACTTGCTGATGACCGGCTCACAAGAGATTGTACAATACTGGATTGGATGACTGGTGTCTGTTGGTCACCATGCCAGTGTATGCAATCTGGCTCTCTTTGATGACCAGTCTGAACCAGTGATTGATGCACTCCCTTCAATGAGTGGTTGGTACCAGCCATTGGAGAGAGTGGGCTGGGGCTGCAACTTTCACAAAGTTTTCAAGACTCTTTCAGTGTATGCCGCTGTAAATTTGGCTGCACAGTCTCAAAGATCAAAATTTAATGGCCCAAAAATAGGGGCTGCAGTGGAGTTGCTCTAACTTGGGTTTGCTAACCTAGCACTTTGCCAGTCCACTGGGGATGCCCTGAAGAGTGCTCAAGGCAGAAAATATCAATTGGGTAAATCACATTTACCAAGCGGGTTTACACTAACTTAACTAAGTCCCTCCTGATTCGGAGGGGGGACACCGTCCCGCAGGGACCCTCCAAAGGAGGGACTTATGCGCTAAGTCACCCTCCTTGCACATGAGGATTACAAAAAAGTTTTTTTTTTTTTCAAAGCTCTCTACAAGTCCTGTTCTGGGCCCCACACTGGGCAAGACGCCCATCAAAATGAGGGGCTGACCTGGGAGTTTCTCACCATGCCCTTGCAGATGTTGGGATGGGACCAACGGTCTGCCCAGCTGGCCTTTCATGGAAGCTCCAGATAATTGTTTTTTTATGTTCAATCTGTATGAGCCGCCACATCTGTGCCAAAACGGCAGCTGCATAAAATACAGCCGGTCATATCATCTGCTGAGAGATAATAACTGGTTGGTTATATTGGGTGTTGACAAGAATAAGACACAACTCTGGTGGTCATTGGGAGGTGATATAACCCGGGTGTCATTTACTCATCACACGTTATGCCATAAAATTATATTTGGAGCCTGTAATGCCAAGTGAAGCTGTATCAGTGGCTACAGCCTCCCTGCATGGAAGATGTCAGACTATCTGCCAGACCCTTACGACATAATCTGGATGGCTCAAATCAGGGATGACTGCTTTGAAGCACAACCATGGGGGACAAACAGTTGCTGATGAGATAGATGGATGCGCAAGTGCTAGGCCATCACAACCATCCAACCCAGCGCAAAAAATGTTCAAAAATGGGTGGGCTAGATGGGTTTTAAAATATTGCCCAGCCGATTGTCTAATCCTCATGGGCCACGGGTGGGACATAGCCCATAAGTCCCTCCGGCAAGCCATCGGACCAATTGGCCAGTGGGACTTAGTTGAGTTAGGGGTTTACATAGACAAGGGTGGGTGCTCTGAGGGCATTCATCTAGGAACACTCACATTGCCTGATTTGACAAATTTTAAAACTCAATCAGCACTCCCAAGGCTGGAGAGGTGTATACCACACCAGAAAGATTGTTTATCGGTCTCACAAGGCTTCTGACGGTGGGACAAAAGGTCAACCCCCCACAGTTGGGGAAGGGCGGCAACGATCAAGCACAAGATGCATAGGGTGTGAAGTTTTAATTTTTGTGTTCATAACATACGTTAGGAGGTTATGGGGGTGAGGGGAGGGGGGACGAGAAGAAGGCTTAGGGGACAAGAAGACAACAAGTACAGGACGACGATGAAGTCTAAGCAGAAGCAGCCATGTAAGCTTCGACCTTGGCCTTGACGTTGGCGGCACGTTGTTCCTTGGTGATCTTCGAGGGCTTGTTCTGCTTGCTGGCTTTCTTGTATTCTTCCAGCTTGGACTTGTCGGTCGGTTTGGGGGAGGGGTCGGCTCGGATGGCCTTGTGGGCTTCCGTGTAGATCTCCTCGATATCCGCCGATCCGATGTCATCGGCAAGATAGGTCGAGAATTGTTTTTTGAAGCGCTAATAGAGCAAGGGAGGTTCATAAATCAATGGACATTCCTGGACTTACAGCCTTGATTGAGATTGAGGCAGGGAAGAAAAAAAAAAAGAGACCTACTTCGTCATCTTCTTCTTCAAGGGCCTCCATGTACTCGGCAACGTGACCACCGTAGATGTAACTCTTCAAGGTGTCGGCGTCCAACTCCTTGGCCTCGGGGTCGTAACCGGGGAATCGGTTTTCAGAGTGGGGGACAAAGATACCACCATCGGAGGCGCCCTTCATAGCACCGAAGATACGAGCACCGGTGGAGGTGCGTCTCAGACCGACATCAAGGAAAGCCTTGAAGGGGCGGGGTCCCTCGTCGTTAGCCTCAGTGAGAACCAAGTCACCCTCAGGCTCCTCAACACCCTGGTACTTCTCGTCCAGACCGAGTTTGACGAGTGCCCGACGGGCAACCAGGAGACCGGTAGCGTAAGCCGCCGCCCAGTTGGTCAGACCGTGCTTGATACCGTATCGGGGGAGTTCATGAGAGTAAGCCGCGGCCAAGACAAAGTCTCCCTGGAGCTTGGCATGGACAACCTGACAGATGATGTCTCGGTTGGTGATTCGGACCACCAGACGGTACTTGGGGGAGTTGTACTTGTTCTTGGCCTGGGTGATCAGACGTTTTCGGGCATAGTAGTCGGTCTTACCCTCTAAAGGAATAAAAAATGGTCTAGTCAGTTTCAGAAAATCGTTAATTTGCAAGAAACAGAAAGGATGTTGTGGGAGTATATGATCAGATAGGAGCGAAAGACTATATGATAGAAAGGTGATCAACATTGCGCCGTGGCACTCAGTGTGAACTATGCATGAATCTCGGAAAATCATCATATTTTTTTTTGATTGCGTGTAAGACATTGCAATCTTGGACAGAAGGTGGAGAAATCGACTTGCAATCTAGAAACGCAGGCCACTGGAAGAAAAGGATACTGGTGAGTGACTAACCTCGACGACGACGGTACTTGACCTGGAATCTTGAAAAGTATGCCGAGTTCTTGACGACCTTGACGAACGGCATCTAGTGACAGGATCAATGACCGAAAATAAGTTTTCTTTCGTTTGTGAGAAGGCAGAACTTGATGCGACATGGCCGATGGTGGGCCCAAGCCGGTTGAAGATGGGAGGGAGAGACGGTTGCTTACCTTGAGGAATGGAAACGATGGACGAGAGGATGGGGGATGACTGACCTGGCTATGGACGGTTGACGGCCTTCGCCCACTTCCAACCAGCCGGCGGACTGGACGAGCATCATCAGGTTAGGTTTCAGCCGCCCACAGGCGCACCCGGGTGCGCAACGTAGCCTGGAGGTCGGTCACCACCCGGGGATATCAGGCTAAGCCCTCTCAAAGGGGGGTACATATGTATGTTCAATCGACAGCTCACCCCGTCTTGATCACAATTCAAGCCCATCGAAAGAGTCAAAGGCCCAGCGAGCAAAAAAAGAAGCACGACGCCAAAGCTGGCATCTCCTGTCTGTAAAGGCTGCGCGGGTGGATACAAGCAACTTGAAGCAAGAATCATTACACATTTGATCGAAGCAGCAAATGAAACTTTTGGATTGGGCGTGATTGAAGAACTAGGGTTGTTTCAATTTGATGGAGACATTGCCAAGCCTTTCGTTAGGTGTTAGGTGACTACCTCAGCTCAATCATCAGATCCAGGGGACGAGCCTTTACAACGGACATCGAATTCGGTTTGAAGCGACAAACAGAAATTCTATAGTTGCTTTCAAGCATGCGCCAACATACGTATCAGATCCTATTATTCACACCAACTCGGAGGTTTCCTAGTGTTGCGAAGAAGAAATGAGACCAGTGGATGCGAATGAAAATCTGAGTTTGAAGTTGATCTACTAAGTATACAAGTACCGCAAAGAAAACATCCAGACTGCCAAGAAACAAAAAACGGGAAAACGTAGTGTTGCTTATACTGAAGCTATGCAAGAATGGCAAAGAGATGAAGAAAAGAGCGGAAGAAAGGATGGAGCTAATCAACAGAAAAGATGAGTTTGATTAAACAGAACGGAGTGAAAATCATCCTCCAAAACCCCATTTGATCGGCACGGTCAAACATTTTCTGCTCGTCGAAGGCTATACTCTTCATCCAAACCTCGATCATCGGCGTCCCGAAGAAAATCAACCAGGCAGAAGTCCATATCATTCCGAGCGGTCCGCAGACGCGTCGACCCGAAAGACTCTTGAACAGGTTTTCGAGACATGCCGCTAAGCCTTGGCTGATGAAGAAGATTGACGTCCTCAATTTTCGGTCGAACGGACCTGCAGAATATACGCCTATAAAGACCGTGTTTTTGTTTTAAGATCAGTTGGTGGGATTCTCTGCCCGATTTCAAGAAAGGATGATCAACACTGACCGACTTCATGGATGATTGCAGAGATCGTAAACGCGCCGATAGTTCCAGCAAGTCGGAGAAGTTTGGGGTGAGCTTTACGAGTGCCGAAGGTCCAGATAACGAAGGAAGTGAAAGGTTTAGAGCCGGCCTCGACGAAGAGGTCTTTGAGCATTAGGTGCCAATGTCTGCTCCAGAAGTCTGTAATGCTCGAAGCTTCGAGCGGGGATTTCTTGAAGTAGAAAGGGCAGGTCTGCTCGAGATCGAGGATGGTGAAGTCGATGGAGAGGATGGTTTGGTATCTCGGGACCAACCGCGATACGAGCCGATGGATAGACTTGAATCCGAAGGCTGAGATCCGATTCATACATCCCCCAAGGTCGATTGACGTCCAGATGAACACACCCCATATCACCGCCGTGATCTGGGGCGCGTAGCGCTTCAGGATCGGGTATGAGCCAATCAATGCCTCGTCGTTCAAGGCCTTCCAGCAATACAACCCAAGTACCCCAAAGATGTTGAGGACCATCATCCGGCGGATCGTGTATAGTAGAAAGACCACGTCTGAGCGAATCGTATGCTGACTTCCTCCCGTCACCAACTGCAGTGGCTTTGACGGATTCGAGCTGCCACTGATCAAAATGAAAGGTTGACCATCAGTCAACTCAGTCCCTCGCACTAGACAGTCAAGTGTTGAGGTCTTGTATATTTAATATATGACTGACTTGACCAAGAGCAACAGAACGGCAAAGAGATTTTCCAAGATTGAGCGGCCATGCGGAACTGTAGATTCTCGTGACTTGATGACTCTCGCCGAGCTTGGTCTGTTGAAGGCAAATAAGAAAGACTTGAAGAATTGTCCAGCAAACATGCATCCCAGGTTGACCTTGAGTGGCCTGATTATCTCCGCGTCATCTCTCAGCATGCTATGGTTGAAGAATAGTAGACCAAGACTGATCGGCATTAGGCTGATCCTCATCCATCGTACTGTAGGGTTGTCCAGATATTTGGGTTGGGTCCATACTAGTTGGAGTAGACTGGCTTGGAAGATTAACGGAACCAAATGTGAACTGATTCTTAAAAAGCCCATCTTCTCAAAAGTTTTGGTCTGCAAAATAAAATAAAATCAATCAAGTGCTCGGAAAATCTGTCTCCTTCCTTCAGAGGCATCAAAAGAGCACAAACATCTGCACGCACACAAAAGATTTATACCATGACCTTTGTTTTGTTGAACGATCAGATAATGGTAAATAAAAGATTCTATCAAAAAAGGGAACCTCAAAGTCTGATCGAGAAAGGGCTGTGCATTCGTCCACGACAGTCCAAGGTCTAAGCTCGGAAATAGGAATTAAGGCATCCGTACATAATTCCAGAGTTCCGCATGTCCATCTGCGGAAGAGGCGGGGCGGCATGGCCCGATGCGACTCTCTCACTGCCGACATCGAATATTTGTTATTTGGCGATCAGACAATTTAAGCAGCGGGTCCGACAGCTCCTGTCCGATCGGTTCCGCAGCATACGGAATGTCGAGATTTGGTTGGGAATCCGATGACTGCTCGGATACGGTCTGTCCGACGGCTGCTGAATTGAGAGCAAGATCCGGACCGTTACGTCCACGTAGTGGTCCTTGATGGCTCAAGGCATATTGAGAAAGCAAACCTTGAAAACCAGTAGGTAGGACTCCAAACCCGGTAAAGCAACGGAACAGATCTGCTATTTTGCTCTTATGGCATAGACCTGTATTGATCATGTCAATGGGCCCTTCCTCTGGTGGCTAAAGAAGTTGGAGCCCTGGCACTTACTTGTTTATTGGTCACAATCTTGGACTCGCACAGGTGTGAAGAGTTTGAGATTTTAAATGCACTTGAGAAGTTGGGTCAGCTATGTTTTTGGACAAGTCTCACAGAGAGATGTCATTTCTCAGATTTTTGGAGCAGAGATTGGCTGAGGTAGCTCTAACTTCCCTGTCCAGATTCTGGAGAATCTGTGAAATATGGCTGTGCAGATCCAATTGGGAAGTCATTCATTCAACCTCTATCAAATTTTCAGAAGGTTATGTATACATGAATTAAAACCATTCAGTAATTTTTCCTCAGGTCTTTTAAATTGATTATCTTGCCTGTTGGTCAGCTTCAACTTTGGGGAAATAGACCAAACTCAAAGGTTCTACAGGTTTTTGAAATCTGCAACTGTAGGGCAGGTGCTGGAAGTCTGCCTGTGCTCACCAATCTCCACTCTCATTTCCCCTCCACTTACTCAATGTTTCACTCTCCTTCTTATTTCTTATTCTCATTTTCACTCCTTCTGTGCTCATCCTTCCTCTTCCCTCATCTTCCAAAATGTATTGCTCCTCTCCTTCCTTCCTTGCTCTCCTCAACACTCTGCTCCGCAGCTCAACCATTTAACCTAACGAATCCTCCTCAAACCACAACTCAAATGGCTGTCTATTCAAATTGGATGTAAAAGACCTCAACGGAGCCATTCTCAATCACTTCTCCCGCAGATTTACCTCCTCAAAAATCCCCAACAACTATCTCCAACAAACTTGCTCTGAATCACATTTCATCAAACTGTCCTCAACTGCTCAGTCTCTTTCCTCAAACCTACTCAACCATTAAATTTCTCCAAATCACACTTCATAAAACTGTCCTCAACTGCTCAGTTGCTTTCCTCAAACTAACCACTCAACCTCAAAACCTACTCAACCATTCCCTTCCACATTGCTCTCCAATTATGTTTATTTTTCTTCAACCAATAATCTTGCTCCTTGCTCAGTCACATCAACACTGACTTCAACTCGTCTCTCCCTCAATTCAACTGTCAACAATACTTCTCAAACCAAATTTATTGCTAGACCTGCTTACTTGGCTTCTGCCAAATTGGTGAGAAAGTGCACAATCACATACTCATCCCATCAGGATCAATATTGACCTTTCTTCTTTGTATGTTTCTTCTTTTTTTCTACACTCTTCATTCCGTGTCTATTATTTCTCCCTGTTTGATCTTGTCTACTTCAGCGATTCCATTCTGTCTAAGTCAAAAAGTAACTCTTATTGTGGTGGGTTGAAACCCTTCTTATCATTTCTTGTCAATCTTTTAATGTCTCTTTAATTTTCATCATGTCCAATTCTTATCTTTGTCTTTGTTATAGTTCTGGCTCTACTTTCAGTAATCAAAGCTGTTTTTCATCAGCAGCAAATTCTAAGTATGGGCAAGGTTGGGTTAGATCAGGTCATGTTCAAGGTCATGGCTCAGCACATGTGCTTTGAAGTAATTTCTGGGATTGTGAAGTTTTTTACTTGGTGTTTATCTGTACCCATTGTACCTACTTCTTCTGAGGCTTGCTGCTTGACCCAACCAACCACAAGATACCCAGTATATTTGTGAATTGAGGTGTGCAGGATTTGTCTTCAGGCTAACCTGCCCCCAGGTGGGTTGGGTTGACTATTCCCATCCTCACCCCTATGGCCAACCATCAGCCACACTTGGCCAAAGGCAGACAGAACATGGCTAGTGTTGAGCCTTCAATCAGGAAGCTCTGAAATATCCAAAGATGCAGCCACTTTGAGAGAGGGCCCTGAAAGGGTCTATGTCTCACACTGTGAGACACAGATTGAATTGTGGGAAAGCCTCTCTGTGAGTCACAGAGAGGCTTTCCCACAATTCAAACCCTGCTGTGGTTCCTAACATAACTTGATTACTGGATGACTCCAAAAAGTTATCAAAAGTGAATTTCACATCCTCTTTTCTTGGAATTAAACCCAAAGGGTGTGATGTATTCTGTAAGAACAAAACAAACTCCATGGCTTCAAATTGAGCAAATTCATAATCAGAAAAAGGGGGAAAGGAAATAGAGACAATGGTTGATTTGGTTTGTAGCCAGAAGACTTCATTTTTCCTTTAGCTTAATGTTACCACTCACCCTCTTCTCTTGTGAAATTCCCCCACTCATTCAATGAAGACTACCATGTGCTGAAATTGACTTCACAGGGTGGGTCACTGTTGGCCTTGCATGGGTTTCCATCTCATTGTCACTTGTCTTTTTTTTATTCTACCTGCTTGGGAGTGTTTTGTGCTCTAGTCCAGATAGCTATGTACTTCCCCATAAAAGGATTGGATAAACAAAGCACTTCCTCATTATACCCCACATACAGTTGCAAGCGGCCAAATAGAGAGTAACTCCAACCAGTACAAAGTAACTGGTGATTGATAGTTAGCTTAGCCTTCTCTTGAATCAGGAAAAAATACCGTAATAGAAGTAAGAAGTAAGTGGTGGTCTGCAGTACACAGCTGTGATAGTTTCATATGCCCGCAATGACTGATTTCCCCCTTTTCACTCAAGGAACCCCCCAGTCAAGGAATAGGTTTTTACTTTTTGTAGGCCAGCCCAAATCCATGACACACTGTTTGGGGGAAACAAATTGGAATTATATTTCTCAATAATACAAGACTCCTCATTTGAGCATAGATGAATTTATTTTGAATGTATGTTATTTCCCCTCAACAGCTGATTTTTCTGGTTGTATTCCTTGATTTGACTGATATATTTGGATCAGTTCCACAAAAAAAGGATACAGGATTGAACTGGGTTTGTAAATACATAGGTGATTATGAGGAAGTTGTTGTTTCCTGAGTCACAAGAGGTACATAAATTGAAAATTGATAGGGATTTATTTTCAAAATGAGGCACATCAATAATGATGAAGATATGAGCAATGTCCTTCATATCGGTTTTTGATTGAAAAGCAGAAGGAATAAATTGTATAAAATCCAACCCTTCACGCAATCTTCTTTCTCCAGGAATTGATTGCTTCATCGAGGGCAGTAACTCTAGGCAACAATAGGGAATCCCTGATTCTCCTACCCTCCTCCTCTTCTGCTGGAACCTGCATTGTAGCTATTGTAGCCGTGGTCGACGTAACTTCAACTTGATCATGGCCACTTTGGTCCGTCTCATCTTCATGAATAGATAGAGTTGGGGTATGAAACCCGCTCTGTTCCTCCCAATCCTCGTGAATTGATGCATTCAGCGTATTAGAGATTCCTATCGAGTCTAATCGTCCTCTTTGATCCTTCCTATCTACGAAATGTTTCTGGGGGAGGATGATAGGGATGGTGGGGGTTAGGGAGTACGAGCCATAGAAAAGTAAACACCACTTGGATAGGCCCTTTGAATGAAACGAAGAAAGAGCATGAAAATAATTTGTGGATTGAAAGATTTAGTTCAATCTTACCATCTTATTCTCATTCAAACGCAAATGTCTCTTGTAACAAGGGCTGGTCCAAATCTTGGGTTGATTCTCAAGAAGAGACGCTGAGACAACTTTCAGATGAGTCTGAGCAGGTTGACGCGGGTTAGGAATCTTCTTCAATTTCTCGAGTAATTCTTGGGATTCGTTCAAACGTTGTTCCAATTTTGTCATGATCTCTGTTCTCGTTTTAGCGTTTTCAACGTCGACTTGAGCTGTCGGTTCGGAGCTAGTTATAGGGCCCTTTCCCTTTTGAAACCTATTGTATCTTGGCGACGGACACGGTGTTGAATCTCTTGTTGTTGGCATTGCTCGATAAAAATTTGATGAAGATTTTGATTGGACACTGCTCCAAGAGGTGGGGGGAGGACCTTCACAGTACCGAGAGGGATTGGTTTGACTAAATTGTGCGGAAATTTTTATGATGTGATAAAACGCTGTCAAGTGGCCTGATGAGATTGGAAAATTCGAAACTGGAGAGGGTGGGCTGCTTATGGCCTATACAAGAACCCGGTAGTACTCCAAGATGGATGAGAGCTGCTCAGTCTGGCAGACCTGAGTCGGACCAAGTCTACACTTCTTCTCAATTACTAGCTTCAGCCTAATCAAGGTACTTAATGGATGTCAAGTAACCTGACGGTATCCGTCAGACTGAGTCCTCAGATCTCGTAGCCTGCATAGACTGCTGAATTATCTGTCAACTAATGCCCGTTTCCCAAACCTTGAAGGACTTTCGGCCAATGAGCATGTACATACATTAAGTTGCGGAGGTGGACTGCTTCAATTTTGTGTCTGTGAATCATACTGATGGGCAAACAAGCATCATAAACCTGCTCTCTATTAGAGCAGCTCTGCTTCCTTAGGCCTCGTTTGGCCGTCCATGATCGTCATAAACGATCATGGCGAATATATTGGGGGTGCACAGCTGAAGACGGGGCCTCACGATGGTGTTTGGGAGGCCACGTCATATCCACTTTTTTTATTACGGAAGTGGTCAGCGAAATATATTCCCTGCCAATTCCAACATTTTGGGTCCCCCCAAAATTTTGCGTCATAAGTCCTCACAGCAAGGTTGATGAGGATTTTCAGGCTGCGTCATTTGCACAGCCTGGAATCATCAAACCTAGATTTTGATTTAACGATTGGAGACGACGGCCTACAGCCAATCCAGAAAAGGATGGCATTTTCTCCTCAAAAGCACCAGCTCGCTTGTGCAGATCCATCCTATTCGTGATCTGGGTAAGGTTAAGTGCCCTGCTGGATTGAAGGAGAATAAGAGCTTCTAGCTCAAACCAAAACCTTACTGGGTCATGAAGTCGTAGTATCTGCACACAAGCGAGCTGGTGCATTCGAGGAGGGGATGCCATCCTTTTCTGGATTGGCTGTATTACGATCGTGGACGGCCAAACGAGGCCTTAGTTATAGAATCACAATCATTGTATGTGGTGCGATGGCTGGGCAGCTCAGCATTTTGGCCAATCAACAAGCGCGAGGTCACCCACTCAGTATTATTTTACAACCCTTACACTGAGGATCAATCAAGGGCAAAAACTGCTCCATCAGAGCCCTTGACTGAGAGAGAAAAATACAAGCTCTGGCTGGTCCACGTCTATAAATAAGACTCTGTTCAGCCCCAGAATTTGTTTTTCCCATCCAAGTCACTCACTTCAAAGCCAGAGGCCTTCTCATCTCAGCCTTATTAACTTCACTCCGGCTTATCATAAATTAAATAAATTGCTTAAATGCCACAAGTAAGAAAGTGCCACTGGCTCAAACAATATTTATTTCTACTTCTCCAATTCTGAGTCTAAAAAATGTTCATCTTTTTTGATCATAGACGTGTTTCTAGTCGCATAGCTTGTCAGGCGCGATCAACAACACCACTTCCTGGACGAGCGTATATCATACTATTCTTATCCACCAGAGGTGTATGTATGGAATATGATGGGACATTTGTATGTGTTACCCAATTTCTTTCGTTGCATTGTTTTCTTCATTGATCCCACTTTCTGATTGTCATTGCGGCTCTAAACTATCGACACTCTTTCATCTGGATTGAAAGGGAGCGCGGTGATTATCGAACGCTACGCCAAGAATCATTTTCCCTTCGACGCTTCGTAAGAATTTTTCGACAATAGTGCAAGAAAAAGATTTACTGTACGTGTTGAAGAACTGTGCAGTGTCACCAAAATCATGTGCAGACTGAGACCGGGCCTGGGCAATTACACTCACGATGACATAGGCTCTGTGTTGCGAGCCCTGCAGCAAGAGAGCCTGCGCGCCCAAGATTGGCTGGTGAGGGAATTACTTTCTCGGAGGGAAAGGCGCCGCTGAGCGCGATGGAAAAGATTCCTCGTACATCTTTATCCTCTTCTCACCTTTTGCTTTCCGAAGTATTTTTGTCCTCCATGTTTAGACTTTTTCATATTCATGGATTTTCTATTTGCTTAGTCTTTAATAAAAGATGTGAAAATTGTGTTGTTAACTTGCACAAAAAATGTTTAAAGAGATCAACAGATGTCCTTCAAAATCATAGCTACATAGAGCCAGGTCAAGTTTGAAGAAATATCTTCAAAAATGAAGAGTGCCATTGAGATTTTGACTATACTTAATAATCAGTCAGAAAAAGCGATACATAAACGATGCTGTTTCTGAAATGGTTGGCAGCCAGATTTTTTTCTCAGCACTCATTTAAATGGACACAAGCCCTCATGGTGTCCTGCCATTTCAAGGGATGCCATATCACTTAGGAGCATTGCTTGGACCAAAAGCTCTCTGTCCCATGTTGATTGCCGGAGATGCCAAGCTATTTGGTGTATCTGTTTAGAACATATGACTATAAAGTCAGGCGAATTTTCTATCTAGTTTCGTTTCATCTACTTAGTAGGACAGCAACTTGAGATGTTTCTATGGAGGCTGTTTCTTGCATGCTCAGGGAGGATAAAACCTACATTTATAAAGAAGAGGTTGTCGCATCGATCTCTTTCAAGGGGGGTGAGGAGGAGACTGATTTGCCGGAGCCAAGAGCGTTCTGTTTTGTTCGATGTATATCAGTCCTGAAATTGGATTTGATATCGACATTTCAGGATGTATCCCATTACATCTTCACAGATAACAACTACTCCCAATTATTCGTTCGTGATGAGTGATTTGGCGGCAGTTATTGCAGATTCAAGAGTGGCGGAGGGTCGCGAACAGCCGCCCTGGACAGACATAGGTGACAAAGTCAAGCAGTACATTTTTAAATACGTACACTGTTGATGCAGAAGATCCTTGCAGGTTGGACTCCGTTGGGGTGACAGCGTCTGGTCTTTTCTGATGCGGGGTTTTGGAGGATCTTACACATAGGCCACACTCCGCGCTGAGTTCTTCCGGCCGCATTTCTGCCAAGTTTCTTTCCAGGAATATCCACTGGCACCAAGAACTGAGTGCGGGCCGACTGTAGTAAGCCTAACTTTACAGTCCCAGGGCCTCTCAGGGCCCCAAAATATTTCTCAAATGTGGGTGGGTTGTCGACGCCCAACCGGTTCACCGCCCAGCAGGTATGGGTCGATTTGCTTCAAAGATCTGACAATATGACGTCAACCAGGGTCCATCCATGAGTAAGGTATGGCGGGGTCGCGGGAGGTTGAATGGTCGGGTAAACCGTGCGATGTTAGCCTGTTTCGCCATCGAGGTACTCTTGTGGTGTTAGTGGCGCGTCTTGGCGCGTCTTGCCCAAGAGTTGTCGACGGAGCGATCTCCCTTCTTCCCTGTGGCCGAGCTATGCTTAACAAGTGAAAGTTAGCATACGGTTGGAGAAAAGCCTTCTGCATAAGCATTTTTCCAGGAAGCATGCGGAGACAGGTCATAGAGTTCTTCACGTGAGGAAGAAGGATGAAGATTTTTTTGATGGTTCCCCAAGCAAAGAATTTTGTCGAATTCTGTCGGACTTGTCACTTTGTGGCCCGAGGCTACGTACTAGGGTCACATCATAGTGTTGGATCTTTTGAAACGATGGCTTGTGTAACAACCGGCAATTTCGATAGCCTTCATATTGGCCATCCCATCTTCTTCGCATCAATATGTGACTGTCTTTAGGCCGGCCGCAGTGAAGAAAGACGATCAATCAGCCCTGCTAAGAAGAGACACAGACGTTCATTTATCGTTTGCCTTCCTGGAAAACATTCGGTTGAACATTACTTCTCATCTAATACCAATGGCCATTTGTTGAGTTTTTGGCGAAAAGGCCGAATAAAAAAATACTTTTTGATTCTCGAAGAGAGGGCTAATGTGCTCGCATCAAAGACTGAAGAAGGGCTAATGTGCTCCTTCAGGACCGATCTAAAAAGAATAAAGAACCGATGGTTTTTTTCATTTTTAAGCTGCAGTCAATATGAGTTAAATATTCTAACTACAAGAGGTTCAAGTTGTGGGTCTAAGAACTCATGGCATAAAAAAGAAAAGACAATGGCCGTTGAATAAGATTGTGACAGGTGAGTGAAAGGAAAGAAGAGAGAGACGAGCGAAATTTCAACACCATTCAAGCGAGTCTACACTGCCTGATTTGGACTCATCCCGACTGTCTGCAAAGACCTATCATTCGATGGACCCGATTATCTTTACTGCCCATCACCCTCAGTTTGCTTTTCTCCGATCTAGCCACTCTCAAGTACGACCGACCAAAGCTCAAATTCAATGTCGATATCGCCTTGATGGTTGCTATCCACGGGTTCAAATCTATCTTGCTGACCTTCAATGAGCCAGCGATACCAGCCCCAAAATCGAAGGATCACACTGATTCCCAATCATTATTGCCATCCCTAGGAACCATAGTTTCTCTCGTATTCTTCAAGTGAGTAAGACAGCCAATCATGCGATATCTAAACATTCTACCTTCATCTTCATACGAAAAAAAAACATATTCAGCGTTCTCTGATCCATTGTCGTTTTGCCCTGTCACTCCAACCAATAAATTCCAGCGGAAGCTGTAATCCGTCAAAACAACCTAAATTAGCATCGGGAGGTAATCACAACATGGGCTCAGATATGCTCTTTTTGTTAAAAACACTCCGACGGCTTCTAAATCTTCATATCTTCGGGGTTGTTGCCTTGATTTGCTTGAGGAGTGCGAATGATGATAGCCGATTTAGCCACCATACGATCTTCGATCTAGTCAAGTACTACAGACTGGAGATCAAGACGTTCTGTTGGGGTATATTCTCTTGGACGAATCTAGATTTATACGGATGTTTGCTCAGGTTATTAATGTTTGCAATAAAAACAATCAATCGCTTATTACCAAGAATAGTTTTGCATCAATCGATCTCCACAAAACTCAACCGACTCAATCAAGTCGATTTGAATGGATCATTTCCATTCGCGTTCAAGAGAAACCCCATCAAGGCTTCAAGCTTAACGGACTTTTGGAGTCGACATTGGCACAGCGTGTACAAGAGCGCCTTCGTCGAGGCCGGTTCAGCTCCTACAATCCACTTCCTAGTCAAGACTTGCGGATTGAAACCTGATTCAAAAATCGTCAGACTTTCTGGAATCATGGGCGCATTTGCTATCTCGGCGGTGGTTCACGAAATCGGTGAGCTATCTAAACATGGGAAAAGAAAACAGATAGAATACATATGAAGGGTGATTAACTCACTTGCCCCAATCGTTCCTTAACTCCTTATCACTCAAATACCCTTTCTAAGCAATCGGAATTGCCGGTCCTTTCGATCCACAATTGAAAACTACTGTATTCTTTTTAAGTCAAGGAGTCGGAGTTTGCATGGAGAACGGATTTAAAAAAGTATTTGGTCGAAATGTGGACGGCCTCTTTGGTAGAATCTGGATGTTTTCTTGGTTGATTTATTTTGGCACACCTATGATCCACTTTTGGTATGTGTTTTCTCCTTGATTGAAGCAGATCAAAAACAGAGGAGAACGAAAAGCATATTCATTAACAAGGCTCTTCAATTGTGTCTTACTTCTTCCCTTTCGTTATTTTCTGGGGGCGATCTCTGTAGGTTAAGAAATGTAGCATTTGATGAAAATTTGTTATTTGAAAAGGTCGATCAACTAACACTTTCTCAGCTGTTATTGACACCATTCATTGTGCTTAGGTTGATGATTCCTAGTTGAATGGTATTTTGCTGCTGAACACATTTCATTCATCATTAGCTGTGCTTTTATTTTCTGTATACTTTTGTTTCAGGAATGGGAAAATGGTTTTTATCAAAATCGCTGACAAATGACAAGAATGATCCATTGTATCATCATCTGATGTAAATACATAACATTACCAAATTACACCAGAGCATATTTTTTGTCCTTTTGGACTGTTAACATATCCCGGCCCATAAGGTAAATTTAAATTCCATTTGTAAGATTTGGTTGAGATATTGCTAAAAAGTCTTCCAAAATTCCATCCCAGAATCAAGGAAGGAGGAGGAAAGATCGGGTATGCATCCGGCATCTGGAAGCCGTCCCAAGAGGCATAATAGTTGTCTGAAATCTGTAGCAAACCATCATCATCTCCAAGCTACATACAGGAAACTATCATCAGGAACTCACTATCCATTTTTCCATCCTTTTTTGGATGATTGACAAGTATTTCAGCTTTTTCCAAGTTCATGACCCCAAGCCCAATTGAGCTGAGTTCAATTTACCATGAGTGGTACATACCTTCGAAAATCAAGGATGAAAATGTGCCGCGTTTGGGTGTCTGAAAGTGTCGGAGGTGATTGACCTGAGCCCCGGCCTTGTGGGACCTTACCTTCAAAATACGCGACACATGCGTTTGGAGGCCGTCCTTCAATGAAGCTCATTGATACCATCAGCCGGATACGCGTCGGATACCCGATCCGCTGCACGAGAGCTCATATATAGCCCTCCGGATTGCATCTTTTGCTTGGCGGGTCACTGAAGGAGCGGATACATACATACTTATCGCCATATCCATCAAGCAAAATTGCACCTTCTCCACTGTATGCCCAAGCTCCTATTGCTCACTAAGTTTGTCCAAGATTACAGATTGTAGCCCTCCACATCAATAAAAATCTTTCATCTCCAAGCTCATCCACTGTCACCAAGCTGATCAGCTGATGGACATATGTCGGGCCCTACCGATTCCCGACGAGCTTATGATAATGAATGACCCTTGGTGGAGGTTATTTGGGCGGAATCGACTGTTGCAATCTTGTTACATATTATAACCCCCTCAAATTCGATGTGCGTTGTCATCCATTGATAGATATCGCGAAACGCGATTTTTTCATGAGGCTACGGATCGACCTACAAAAATTCACCATACTACGTACAGTTTTGTGTGTGTGTACAAATTATTTGAAAATGTCTTGTTTTTTTTTCCTCTTTATGTGTCTTAATTTGACCCTGAGAATTTGCGGGGTTCCAGACTTACAGTTCATCCCGTGAGATTGGCACCGGTGCAGGTTGGTCGTGATTGGCCAGAAACTTTTGATGGGCTTGTTTTTTATGGGCTGTGTTGGGGGTTGTAATTGGGAATGCCCTGGTTGAGCCCTTGAATTTATGTTGTTGTATCAGCAAAACCCTAGTCTACCATCAAATCATCTATCCGTCAGACGTAGTCTTGCTTTTATCTCATTGGAGTGGATCTTCGGGCTCGTATGACTGAGGGATTTGTTGCTTGACTTGACTCGGAATTTGTAGAAGATCCAATTACTCACCCACTCCATTCCGGATCTTCCTCGAACAGTTTTTTGAAGTGTGTTGTAGTAGAGCTGTCTCCAAGATGATGGAGTGGATCAAAGTGACCACTCATCTAGCCCCTATGCTCATTCAAGCCGGTTTGCTTAATCTAGTCTGGACACACCCTGATCAGCTCCAGAAACCAATGATTCGATGGACCAGATTATCTCTATTACCCATCAGCCTCAGCTTCCTGCTCTCAGATCTGTGGAACCTGAAGTACAACTCTCAACTATCGATTTTCATCAAGACAAACTTGGGATGTACCTTCGGAGGGCACGCCTTCAGATTAGCCCTGCTTGCCCTCCAACAGCCGGAACCTCAAAAACAAGCCAAAGGACCTTCTTCCGATGAAAAATCAACCCCTAAAGCTTCTGTTGAACGTGAACAGTCCGCCCTACAGAACCTTGCCAGCATTTTCATGCTTGCCCTCGCGTCAGTAGGATATTCAGCCAGTCATACCTCAATCATTTATCATGCTCACGTCTTTTTTTAGAAGAAATTTGCCTCTTGTGCAAATTGTCATGATCCAAATTTGACTGACAAGGATACGTCTCAACACTTTTTTTTTTTTCATGTTTCGTCGAAAAAAAAAAACCAAAAAACCACAGTGGCAGCACCAACCCGTCAAAGAAAGCCAAAATTTCATCAGGAGTCAATCAAGGCATACGCGACGACATGATCTTCTTAATGACAACACTTAGGCGCCTGATCTTTCTTCACTTTTCGAGTGTTATCGCACTCATATTCTGGAAGATAACAAACGACGAAAGCCTCACAATAGACCAACCGATCCTCAAGCTTCTGGGAAACTATAAATCGGAGATCAGGGCGTTTTCGTGGGGGATGTTCGTCTGGATTGGGATAGATTTACAAGGATGTCTCCCAAGGATATCGATGTTTGCCCTCAAACTCATCAGTCGACTACTATCAAACTTTGTTGCCCTTCCAAAGATGATGTCCAAACAACTCGAGAAATTTAAGCAGATCGATCTTAGTCAAGCCTTCCCGTTTTACTACAAAAACCTTCCCCTTGGAGCGTCCAGTTTGACGGATTTTTGGAGCAGACATTGGCACGAAATTTTGAAAGACCTTTTCATAGAAGCTGGCGTCGCTCCCGTAACGTACGTGTTGGTCTCGTTTCTCGGATTCCAAGCGAAATCCACATTCGTTCGAATCTCTGGAATCATGGGCGCGTTCACGATTTCTGCAGTGCTGCACGAAGTTGGTGAGTCTCGCAGGCTCTTCCTTGAGTAACTTCTTCTGGAGAAAAAAAAAACAAAAGAAAAAGAAACTCATCCCATCTTTTATCCCTTTTTTTTTCTTGAACAAATTGCACGATACAAAGGAATCTGGGCGGCTGGCCCACTCGATCCAACATTCAAAACCTCGATTTTCTTTTTGAGTCAAGGAGTTGGAGTTTGTCTCGAAAACGGATTCAAGAAGATATCTGGCCGAAAGGTGAATGGATTCCTCGGACGGATATGGTTGCTCACTTGGCTAGTCTATTTCGGCCAGCCTATGGTATCAATTTGGTCAGTCTTCTCTTTCTTCTTTTCATAGAATATCAGTCTTAGTTTAGTTTTACAAATGCACATCTAATTGCCCCCTCCGCGCTTCTATTATAACTGTTGGTTTCATTAGGTTGGAAAATTTGGGATTTAATCAGAACAATGTTTTCAGGAAAGTTGACGACATCGGTTTATTCAGATTAATGTATACCCCATTCATTGTTCCAAAACTGTTGATGTTTTAGACAATCATTCTCCTACCATCCTTCTTTTCTGATCTCATCTTTTTCAATATCTCTGTTTGAAAATTGATACACATTGGTGAACCTGTTTTCTCCTTTCTTCCTCTGCATATGACTGAATGTTCATGTTACGTTTCCCATTCGCCTCCCATTACCTATGCCCTGCTTTAACGTTGATTGATTGACACATGGATTGAATCCGATCATCACTTTTAGCACGTTTTCTTCTTACCTTGTGGGTCGGTGAACCCTCCCTCAGCTGCTTCCATTGAACTATCAACATAAATCACTGCAGGTCCTCTCGTGCCAAAAATTCCGGCCGAACATCCAAACATGAGGCACCCAAAAAAGCAATCATTCAGCCCATGCTTGGGTTTCAAATATACGTGCCATCAAGAACAGCAGCAGAAAAAGAACGACAATCCCCCGAGCCGGGATCGAACCAGCGACCTCAAGATCGACTTGTTTCTTATCCATTACAGTCTCGCGCTCTTCCAACTGAGCTATCGGGGGGAGGCCATGATGTAACACCACGGTCATTTGGGTGTCGCCGCGGATGTAACCGTCACCTTGACGAATCCGCGTGCGTGACTGCGGCAGTAGGCGCAGTGACTGCGCACGAAACCCCCAATGAAACCCCCAGATGTCGCTCCGCGTGGGAGCGACATGCAATTGTCCGTGGTGTAAGACCCTTGTTTGGCAGCTATATCCCTAGCCACAAACCGATTCTCGTCCCGAGTGTCTGTTCAAACGGAGCCAATGGGGCCGCCATGGTCTCAGAAAAGAGAAATTGTGCTGATGGTGTTTTCGTAACGGAGTCGAGCGTCTTCCTGAGCCATCGTGTGAACAAGGGAGCTGCCCTGCGGCAGGCTTGTTGATCAGTTTCTTCACCCGGTGTCTTTTGTGAAGCGGCCCCCATGCCCGATGCCGAGTCCGGCGAGCCAGCCGGGCCACGACTTCGCCCAAGGCGAGGGTCCCGCGGGGTCTTTCGGGGGAGAGAAGGCTGTGTTGTAGAGGAGCACACTGTCACCACCGAGCGATGTCATGCCTCTCGGCTCTCCTAACAAGAACCACTCTTTCCCAGCTTGCCATTTGGAAACACTAGAGATGTCGTTGCGCTGTCCAATCCCAGTCACTGTCCTTGGCCTGACCAGCAACCCGGTGATTGCCGTGCTTACTCCGGTGACCATCGGCAGTCTGATCGGACTGGTCACCAAGAGCTCGATCAAGACTTGGTATCCAACCTTGAAGAAGCCCAAGGGACAACCACCACGATGGTCAGTAGATCAAGTTTGTATCCATATGATGGACATCGAAACTGACATGATTCCTGGCTGTAATGATGACTCTCTACAGGGCTTTTCCGGTGGCATGGACCTATCTTTACGGCACGATGGGATATGCGTCTCATCTGATTGCCGAGTCGTTGAGGACTACCCGGTTCATCGAGACGGCAGATCTAGCCAACTCCGCCTTGACTCTCTACTTCGGCCAACTTGCGCTCAACTTCATCTGGACCCCAATCTTCTTCGGCTTGAAAAAACCTGCGCCAGCTCTGGTCGATATCCTCACTCTCACTGGGACCGTGTTTTATATGACGGTCAGTACGGCTCGTCGGCCTCCTCTCAAATGGCTACTCATCTCTTTGATTTTTTTGGCTTCTTTTTTTTCGCACTTCGGTAGAACCTCACCAGTAAATTCAACTCCAAAGCTGCTTACCTCTTCTTACCCTACGTATGTCTTTTTTTTCTTGACGACTCTCAGTTTTGACCATGAACGAACTAACTAAGAACCTATGAAATTGTCGTATGTGTTGTAGTGCGCATGGCTCTCATTTGCCACTTACCTTAACGGTACGATATGGTATCTGAACCCCGGCGACGGTCCTCCGTCCACAATCCGCTCCGCAATCGACTATCTTGTGTCGAAATTCAACCGCTCATCCTTACCCACACAAAAAGATGAGTAGAAACTCATAACCAACAAACCTGTGCTGACTAAAAAAAAAGGAATACAAAAGCTTTCCTGTACTTCTTCCTGGTGCTGGTGAATTTCTTGAACGCTCTTGTTGTTCACAAACATGAAAAAATGAACGCAAAGAGATGTGTATGATAGTGAAGAAAATAAAATACATGATACCTGTGATCAAAAATGTGTACTACTAGAGAAAACACCAGTGGAATTCTGAATGGAGTCTGATTCTTTCAACGGAGCAAGAAGGGCATAAAGGGATCTGATGTCCACTTGATGGTGTGGACACACAGATGAGGTGCTGGGGAATTGAAAACAATGACTGTCGTTCGCTTGTTCTCTTGATGCGCGAAGCTCAAAAATTAGTTTTGAGACCTGAGAAAGCACTTCCTCCATGCTCATTCAAGAGGTAGGCGGTAGATCCTTAAAGATGTGAAGTTCTTTCTGATTTTTCTACCCTGCTTTACAAATTGAGCATAGATCCCGTCCTCTACAAACTCCAAATCCACACAATTGGTCCAATAAATATCTTCAGCCCTGGAAAGTCAGTATTAAATTAGTGCTATGCAGGAGGTATCCAACGCTGCAGAGCCATCCGTTCTACATAAACCGGCTTCAAACATGTTGGTGGTGCTGTGATGTTGCGGTGCTGAAGTTGATAAAGGTTGAGCCAAGTAGACCGGGGGAGCTCCGAGCTACCACCTCCGGTCTCCGATCGAGCCTAAAACAATAATCTCTTCTGTCCCCGGCGGCTTCTCAGCATAACCCCGGCGACACTCAGCATTGGATCCATAAATCGCGATGGCTTCGATCGCCGCTAACTTCGTCGGCCAAGGCAAAAAGGTCTGTCTTTCTTTTTCTGACGCATCTCCTTACAACTCCTCTAACCAACAAGCACAAACTCAGACTTTCCAAAACTTCTTATGAATTAACTGACCTGGTTATTCTCTCTCTGTGTAGATCATCGGGATCGGAAGGTGCATATCAACCAGTCTCGTTTTTGTTTTGGTTCTTGCAATTCTAGGTTCGGGTTGATGAAGGATATTGTCAATCTAACTTCGGAATGCTTTTTTTTGTTTGTGTCGGTCGCAGAAATTATTTGGATCATGTTCAAGAATTGAAGAATCAAGTAAGATACGATTTCAGATGTACACATGTAGCGGTCAAGTGTTCGATAGACTCATCACTGATGGACGTTGCTCTGGGAATCGGTGCTCTTGCTCGTCTATTCACATCTAAAAAAGGTGCCCTCCAAACCCTTCTTTTTCTTGAAACCGACAACAAGCTATATCACTCGAGGCCAAAAGATCGAAATCCCTTCTGGAATTAATTGCCATCATGAAGGTAAGTCAAATCGCTGACCACAGAAAAAAAAACAAAAAAGAATGTCTCTTGTTTTTCTTGGTGTTTAGATTCTCGCGGAAAATTGTGTAATTACTGATCACTGAAAATGATCTAACGTCTGAATTTGAAAAAAAATAAAAATACTTGCTATGATTGATAGTTGAATTAGGGGTGATAATTGGAACCAAATGTCGATCGGTGACTGCCCAAAAGGCGATGAGTCATGTGGCCGGATACACCATAGCGATCGACCTAACGGCGCGAAATCTGCAAGAAGACATCAAGCGCAAACAGCTACCATGGTCGTCTGTGAAAGGCTTCGACACGTAAATCCTCCGCATCCTCAACCACTCCAACGTTTTTTTAATATGCACACTCTGATCTAGATAACAATCACTTGATTTCGCCGGTATTCGTCTGAGGTAAAGGTTTTGTCCCGTCGGTAAATTCATCGAAGCGCAGCATATCGTCGATCCGCATCAGCTTTCTATCTGGTTAAAGCTTAACGGACAGCTCAAACAACACAGTCAGTTCCCAATATTATTTCCTACTCAAATGATTGTACTCGAAATAAATAGATGAAACTCTTGCAGGTTCAACCCAAAACATGATCCACAAGATTCCCGAATTGATTGCTTATTGCAGTGGGATCATGACTCTCGAGGAAGGAGACCTACTTCTGACAGGTCAGTAGTCGATCCTCATTCAAAGCCTCCGTTTCTAGATGTGTCTGCCCAACGTCGAGCAAGCATGAAACAGCTCGAAAAGGGTTCAGATCACAAATCGCGAAAAAGATCAGCCATGTTGAAGAGGGGATTTTTCCCATTTATGGCCTTCCTCTTTCATGCGTGAATCAAACAGGCACACCAGCTGGGGTATCGTCCGTTTCACCAGGCGACGAGATCGAGATCGGATTAGAACAGGCAAGCAAGCCAACCGATCCATCGATGTCGATCCTCGATCAACTCAAGTTCAGTGCTATCCAACGTCCCGATGGACTCACATACGATCACTTGAAGGTTTGAACATTGAGAATAAGAAAACTCTTCATATTCCTTTCTTTCTGAAGCCCGTTCTTGTAAATTTCTTGGCTTTTTGAACAAGTCTCTGGTTCCATGATGAACATGTACAACTTCAGTCATCATCAAAGGCCTCCTGGTCGTTCCGCATTGGAACTTTTGTCAGAAATTTACTAAGACATCCCAGAACTCTCATGGCCTACAACTTGACCTGAATCAAGAAGTGTGAACTTGAGGAAACATCTGAGGTTGTAGAGATGGCTTTGTTTGACGAAGAACTGTCAAGATGGACGTGAGCTGGAGCCTGGATGATGGGAGTGATGGGAGGAAGAGCCTTCCGTAGGATCATGATGATGTGATGGTCTCGAGTTTTGCACATCTCTGGAGTAGAAGACTGGCCCTGCAAATCACCTTCTTGGGAGCTGCTGGATATCTTCCACTCCAAACTCACCCAACTTGGATCATATCAGCCAAGTTTATTTTTGCTTTGATGGAACTTTGATGGCTGAGGTTGGGGCTCATGATCGTCCTAATACCTGCATTTCTCCCCTCTTTTTTTGGATTTAAAGTAACTCTTCAAAGTGATATGTGGATGAATGGTGGCTGATTTTCAAGCCAGAGTTGAAAAGGACAGAGAGGGTGAAATGGTATTACAAGGCTCTATTATACTTTTCTTAGTGGTTATTTCTCGAGTGCCTCATAGAGAGGAAAGCTTCCAAAGGCAGACCCCAACAAGCTCAAAAGTGTCTTAAATCAAGTGCTTCCTGAAGAAATTGAGACTATGCAGTATCCGAGATTTTGAAGTGAGCACACCGGACCCGGACAGCGGGGTGCTCGGGTCTACGTCATCATCCTATGGCCTGTTGGGCGTGTGAAATGTATCTGTGACACTCTGGTCGATCGAGTGTTTGCAGAGCTGACTCAATCATCCATTCCTTCTTCTTTACTACACACACACCTCATCATCCTCATCAACCGGACCCGAAAGAAAGACAGCTAAATCTAAAGGAGAAAGGAGAAAGAAACTATCAGCCAAGATGGTTAGTCAGTCTCAAATCATTCGGGGGTTTTTTTTTTGAGTGTCGGCAAGGAAAGGTGAGATGAGAACTGACCAAGTTAATTGACGCGGATGACTCATGAATGGATGCCAAAAAAAAAAAAAACGAAAACGAAAAAAAAAAACGTAGTCGATTATGGAGTTGAATGGGGGTTCGGTGGTGGCCATGGTCGGCAAGGGCTGTGTGGCGATTGCGTGTGATTTGAGGCTAGGAAACCAGGCCTTGACGGTTGCATGTAACTTCGAAAAGGTCCGCTGATCATCCCTCCTTTCTTTCATGCTTGTGGTGGTGCCAAAAGAACAATAACAAGAGAGAGATAGAGAGAGAGCGTTAAATGGCTGATTGATTGAACTTTTGTCTCTGTTACATACATGTATAGGTTTTTCAAGTTACCGATAAGATGTTCATCGGCCTTCCTGGTTTGGCTACCGACACATTCACCTTGTCAGTCTCTCTTGTCTCTCAATCTCATCAAACATTTGCATCGGATAATATTAACCATCACGCTTTATTTTCCTTTGTCTAATATGGGTCCGGATATTGGTTTGAATACATATAGGAAGAATGTGTTTAGACATCGGGTGAACATGTACAAGATGAAAGAGGAGAGAGTGATCGAGCCCCAAACGATGGCCCATTTGATTTCTTCCACGCTATACCAAAAGAGGTCCGTTTTCCCCCCTTTCTTTTACCAAAAACCTCATCGAAGTTGCTGAGACTGAAGATCGATTATTGTCTTGCTTTTTAGGTTTGGACCTTACTTCGTTGAGCCGGTGGTTGCGGGATTGGATTCGAAGAACGAGCCGTTCATTGCCGCGACGGATCTGATTGGATGTATCAAGTACGTCACTCTTTCTTCGTGCTACCACAAACTGATTTCTGCAGTCTCCAAACCTCCACTGTCCCCCAAAAAAACACACAAGAAACGAGCTAATGACTGACACGATTTTTTTTGGGACATGTATAGTTTTGCAAAAGACTTTGTAGTCTCAGGGACGGCCTCTTCGAAGCTATTCGGGATGGCAGAGGCCTTATGGGAGCCCGATTTGGCGCCCGAAGATCTCTTCGAAACCATCAGTCAGACCCTCTTGAACGCCGTCGATAGGGACGCTTATTCCGGTTGGGGTGCGGTGGTCTGGATCATCGAGGCTGATCAGGTCACGAAAAGAGTGCTCAAAAGTCGGATGGATTGATTGGTTTACTTTCAGTCAAATTCATTTTTCCCCCTGTTAATTGTGTTTTTTTTGTCATTGCTAGCTTCTGAATGGGATATACATAACAACAAAAAATCATCCTACAAATGTGAAGAAATTTAAGAATCCGAAAGGGATATATGCAGTTATCGTATTTCTTGACAATAATTCATACCTGACAATAGGAACAAGGATTGGTCTTCTTTGGCCAGAATGTGGTATGATACAATGCACTATCAATGCAGCTAATGTATCTGGCCACCACTATGATTTGCTATTGGATTGAAGAAGTGGAAAGAAACTCCGACCCACAGGAGAGATACTTACCACACTTTTGAACCAGTAGACCGGTACCTCAAGCTCATGTATCGGTGTATTTTGTTCCTCTTGACACTCCCCGGCCAAGAATCAAAGCCAAAAAAAAATGTGTTTTGTATCACATGCCTAAAAAAGTCAAACAAATGTGTGTTATATCACAGTCCTAAAACTCTCCATACTGATGATACATCAGGACAAAAAAAGTCAAAGAAATGGAACAGACACAAGTGGTGGTCTGTCTCCAGAGATCACAGTAGTTTTTCAGTCTGTTTTACGACTTCCAATCAGGCCATTTTGGGCCTCTCACTTGCTGAGCATATTGTGCCAGATTCAATGGGAGTCAAATGGGGAGCAAAGGTGGATCCAATGTCTAATCACTCGCCTTGCAGCTCAGAAATGTAAGCAAACATGTTTGGTCTTTGAACTTTGAAGGTACACTTGGATCTGATGCTGGTTTTTTGAACATCAAGTGGTCTGCACACTGTACATGTGCATACTCCTTCCTTTCCTGGCAGATTCATCTATGGCAGTATGTAGAGATCATCAACACTCCAATCCCAGTGCATAAAATTAACACATGTCATATGTGTCAGGATTGATCCAACCAATAGTTTCAGTTACATTACTGGAGTTTGGATTTTTTTTGTTTGTCTTCAAAGGGTTTTTTTTTTTTTTGGTCACCACATTTTATTGGAAAAAATATCACAAAAAATCAGAGCAGCCCATGCCAGAAAAAGTTCAGAAGAAACCAAGAATGAATTCAACTTGAAAAAACTATGGAGTATGTAACTATGGATCAAAGGGCCAAATTGCCCACTAATTGTGTCAATCAAAGACTTGGGAAATTCATCCAAAGATTCTGGGTTGATTGACTGGAAAAAGGAAGACATATAAAGAAGATTCCCTGCTTCCTTGGGAATCGAGTCCTTTTTGGATGGCTGTAAAGATACACCAGTATAAGGAATATTGCATGTGATAGCCCTGGAAGTCGGAAAATATTCATCCATTAAAGGAATCAACAAAAAGAGTCCCAAATGGAAACTATACCAAAGTTAAGGGTGCATTCCATTTCCACATATTCAAGCAAGTTACAGGTTTTCCCATTACAAGATGATTTATTGGTAAAGACAATTGCAAAATATTGCAGATCTCTCCTCATGTTATGTTTCAATTTTTCAGTCACAGAGGGATTGATTTGTTCAAATTTCACAAACATGCATCCCAGACATGAAACCATATCATTATCCATGTTAGCTGGATTCCTGGAAGCTTTTATAAGGTATTGTATTGATCATATCAGGAAGGTGGTCAAACAAACCTAGTTCCACATGCTGCTACACCTTCCCCCATCCATCAGGATCAGCAAATTTGGGCCTGCCAGTTTGCTTGCAACAGAAAAATTTGAAAGCTATTACAGTATATCACACACTGCATCAATTCATTCAATTTACAATCAAATTTTTCCCAGCCATGATTCAGAAAAATAATTCAGTGAGTCACAACCAGAATATGAAAGTATTGCATCATCCAGATAGGCAAATGATAGCAATAGCCACATATCCTTATGTGCACTGAATGATTTGTCCATGTCACAATGATGTGTTATGTGATTGGAGTGATTTGATGCAGTGAAAAAACTCTGTAATAGCTTTCAAACTTCTCTGTGGCAAACAGACTGGCAGACCATAGCTTTCCATTGGATTCAAAAAGATGGAGTACCATGTGAAAATTGTAATAAACTAACAAAGCAGTCATTTTTTTGGAATAAAGATGAAGTTGATTATGGTTGGGATGCCAAAGATCTTTCTGATTGAAATTATTAATATACTGCTTTGCTTCAGTGGAAGAGGGAGGAAGAACTGATAATCATGGAAAATCCAGGTAGACAGAGGCCAGCTTATAAGCTCATCATGACCATCTTTTTTTTCCAAATGAAATTTAAAACACCAATTGAAACAACTCTTTCTCCATCAAACTTGTTCACACAGCCATTGGTTTCATGTGATCTGAGGCAATGAAATCCAGTTTAGTTTCAGCAAGTCAATATACATTCTCTGAAATCAAAATGATTGGTTTTACTCCTGTTCTTCAAAACATGTATCATTTGAATCCTTTGAAATTTCAAAACTGCTCCTGGATTGCTTGAGTCTTGAATTGGACTGTTTCAACCTCAATATTGGCAACAGCATAGTCTTGGCTGGGATGAATGGTGAAATGAGTTTGATCAATCTTTGTTTTAATGAATCAGTTCTGTTTGAACAAAAGAAAGTTTACTGTGACACATTTGGATTCACTCAGCACAGCCTCTGACTCCTTGGGATGGAATTACCTTGAAAAATTGTTTTGTTTCACCTTGATATTGTGGGATTGGTTCCAATTCAAATCTATCATGCTCTAACTGAAACCAGCGCTGAAACTGAGACAATATATGTATTGGTATTGGTGTGTATTATCTCTGTTTTGAGCCTAATACCTGATCCTGGATTTCTGATCCAGAAATAACTTGCAGATAAATGGTTGTACCCTGTTTTTCCCAGAGAGATCAACATTGTTTGACAAGCTATCGTCAGCCTGAGTGTGTTCATAAGTCTTAAACAACTAGGGGTGACCTGTTTGCCAAAGTGTAACCACCCCCGTGGGACAAACACACACCCTTCTTGTCTGAAGAGGATTCAGGAAACCTGCTTGTCTGCAAGGAATCCCTCTCACACTGACAAATCCAGCCTGCCTTCTGCAGAGAATCACCTTGTTTGAACACAGATTGTTTTTTTACAGGCTGATGATGTTTAATTTGGCATTCTAATAAAACCTATTTGTATTCTCTACAAAAATCTAGTTTATGCAATAAGTCCCTCTGGAGGAGGTACTTTGCGCCACCACCTCTGGATAGACTTGTTGAAGTCAGAGGCTTATATGGTCTGCTTCACAATTATCCTCAGGTGGCCCTCTGGGATCAACAATGGGCCACTGCACTACACGCTTAGAAGCTTTTTTTGCATGGAAATCATGTAGTGTTAGTGCAATGTTAGTGTTTTTTTGCTCCGCTACACTGGGCTACAGGCCGCCAACAGCCAGTACAGGATCAAAATGCCACTAACCAGCAAAGCAGCAGAATTCTGCTGCACTAAGCTAGAATTTAGTGTAATTCTGATATCTCATGCCACACTTACACCACTGTTAGCATCACTGGCCCATTTTTTCTGGGATCTCTACAAGAGGCTTTGTTAGGCGTGAGCTCCAGTTGCAATCAGCCTTTCACTGTACATACAAAGCTCTTTCTGTAAAAGCCCTGCAGATTTGAAAGATTAAACACTCTGTATGTGAAAGTTACATTAGAAAGACAAATCATGCATATTTGAAAATTACCAATTAGGTAGGTGAACGTGATCCCATGTAGTTTGCACCAAAAAAAAGTGCCTCTACAAACACCTTTGGATTTCTTTTTGGAGGGTTCTAGCCACACATTTTGATGTTCAACTGCTTTTGTAATTTCTGGAAATGATTCTTGGGTAGTTGTGATGGGAGTATCTTGGTACACAATATAACAATTAAGGTGAAGGTTTTTTGCGGAGAGCTCTGTAGGAATGCGGCTTGCAACTGCAGTCTAGCAGACCATGAGGAGGGGCAGCTGAAGTCTGCAGATCGGACCAGTCGGGCTTCAGCAGATCTTTCGCAGCCCGACCCCTGAGTCCCGGCCCGGTCGACTTCACTGCCTCGGTAGAATGGCGTGAACCGTCTCAACCTCCAACCAACTCATCACACCCAACTCACTATCATCCAAAAACACAACCACCAATCCAAGTAACAACAATCAGCTTAGCACAATCATCAGTCCGAACCGCAGAACATTTACGAACAACGAAGACCACACGGGAAGAGACAGGACGTCTGAAATCTAACCGAGGATATATCACTTTCCATATCGCTCAAAATGGACTCGATACCTGGCTTGGAACTATTCAACTCGTATGAACAAGAGTTCAACGATCTCGTCATCAGTATCCGGAATGCGCTGAACGTCGAGGCCAAGAACTCGGTCGGTGGTACGGCAATTTGTTTTTTTGAATATTCTTCGTTTCAATCTGCTTCTGCCAGCAAGCAGAAAAAAAAATAAGAATCCAGAATGCTCACGTGTTTGATTTGGGTCATGTGGGTTTGTGATTGTAGAACAGAGGAAGGCCGTCTTGAGGAGGGTAGAACGAGACTACGAAGAGGCCGAGGAAATCGTGAGTCTTGTTTCTGTCGCATCATCATCGTAGAATAGAAACACTCATCCTAGCTTCCGTGGTCATCATTTTCATTGTCATCACAGTTATCTCAGATGGACGTCGAGTTACAGTCCCTCGATAGAGCGCTCAAGCCGACTGTCAGTCAGAAGCTGAAATCTTTTAAGAGCGAATTGGCCGGCTTCAAATCGCAAATCGTTGAGTCCATTCCATTTTACGACTCTTTCAAGTTCATGCGAACAAGATAAGGAATATTAACTGATTATCATGGTCCCATCATATCTGTATGAAGAAACAGGCGTATTCCCAAGCGACGAGTTCGGAGCTCAATTCAGATTCTCCTTACCAAGACGACTCCCATCTGTCGAGCTCGACAAAGGCCCAACAAGCACAACGTGAACGGCTCTTGAAGGCCAACTATCTCCTCGAATCGAGCTCCGATCGCCTCGATTCTAGCCAGCGTATCGCCCTCGAAACCGAGGAATTGGGCTCGGGTATCTTGCGTGATCTCAGAGGACAGAGAGAACAGATCGAAAATACTCGCGATACCGTTGAGTCTCCTCTTTTTTGCATCTGAGAAATCTAGCACAATCATCTCTTTATTGTTGCTCATATTCTTGCGGTTCTGTATGTTGTAAAATTATCTTTGGTTCGGTTTAGTTGAGAGAAGCTGATGGCCATCTCGATAAAGCTAGCAACACGCTCAATAAGATGATCCGAAGGTCAGTGTTTCCACATCTATATCATCCCCTCCCCTCTTCCCATTCCTTTACTTCCTTCAAAAGAAAAAATAAATGAAACCTCATTCTTTTTGTTTTGAATTTTGTACACAAGACTTCATTGGTTTCACTAACGTGCTTTTATTCTGTTTTTACTATGATTATCATTCTTAGGATGTACCAGCAACGTGTGATTTCAGGAGTGATCATTGCAGTCTTGATTTTACTAATGTAGGCCATTTCTTTCCCAATTTTTCTTTCTTTTTTACCCTGTTTGAAGTCATCCTGAAAAGCTCATCCATTTGTTCTTTGGCCCCCCTTCATTTTTTGTCAAATGATGGCATTTTTTGTTGCAGCTTATTTATATTATACTCCAAATTCAAATAATATTAAGAAACAACTCCAGTCTGTACTTTTTAGGGTGTTATTTAGGACTTCTATATACATCTTTTGAGCTTATCTTGACTCACCACATAGGTATCTTCATTCTACACCCAGGCACACACATAATCACAGGTTACACAGGAACAAATACCTGCAAAAGTTAGCCTGGTTTGTGATGTGATTTACATCTGATTTTGTTGTATTTTTTAATTACATTGTTTTTTTTTGAATTGGTTCTCATTCTCCATCAGCAAGTAACTTGCAATGTCCTCTCTCTCTCAAAAGAAACTTGAAAAACTTTTTCTTTTTTTGTCTCTTTCATGAGTTACTTGCAAAAAAAAATCTTGTTCCCTTTTTTTAGGACCTGCATGAGAGGGAAAACAATTCAAAATGGAGTTTTGCTGAGCAAAATTGGTGATGAAATTACAGGACAGTTGACAGAAGATTCATCATTGCTGAACTAGCTCAAGCAGGGAAAAAAACAAAAATAGGGGAGAACTGATGATTTGAGTGTAATTGCAATTGGTGTGCTCCACTAAGCTATGTATGCAGAAGCTGAGCAGATATTTTATAGAGCCTTAGCTAATTGACTCCCAAACTTGGGAGGATCAACTCCCAAATTAGGAAGCCGTTGGGAGGACCACTTGGGGACAATCACAGGACGTCCCACACAGCCCCAAAAACCCGGCTCCCCCCCCCCCCCCCCCCCTGAGCCGTGGGAGTCGCTCCTCCCAGTCCTGCAGTAGGAATGGGAGTTGATTCCCTAATGAAAAATAATAAAAAATCAATCATTCCAGGGATTGCCCTCCAAACATTGACGGCTCTCCCGACCGTCAAGATTTGGGCACGTTCATGTCAGTTTGGGACTCTGTATATCTTCTTGTTCAAAGGTCCATTGCTGATAGATTAAGCCAAAGTCCTACATAGCATGGAAAAAGGAAAAAAAAAAAAATCAAAGAAGAAATCTTCTCTGATTTCAAAAATTCCACAAACAACATGGACATGAAGGCCAAGTAAATTCTGAAGAAGCAAGGCGAAGATTCACTTGCATCTTGCACAGATCCGGTTTGCCATCACTTATCAATACGTTTTGATTGGAAAAAGAGAAGTGGCCACCAAAAACGCCTCAAAAAATTAAGCCTTGGGTGCATTTCAGGCTTGCCAAGAGCTTGTTAAACTCAAGTCTCAAGGCACTCTGTCAAGTTCGGATAAACCTGAGCTGGCACAGACCGAGCTTTGCCTTGCTTGATAGCAGTATTGGCTCATGTATGTAGCCAAGCTTTCTGTCACTAGCGACGGGACGGCATGTTCTGAGGGGTGCTCTTCACACTGTCACCATCAAGATGGCTTGACTCTGAGCAACACCTTCCTATTCATTGTTGTGTGATGTCTGGAAGAACATTTGTTTGATTGATTAGTAACATGTCCACAGTGGCAAAATGGCTGATGCTACGGGCCGAACTGAACAATTATAAAGATGTAGGCAGAAGAACTGAGGCTCAAGTTGGGCAACAACGCGATATTCCAATCTTCGATCACTCGCAAACGGTGACACAGGCGCAGGGGACACAGAATCCACCCAAAACACATTGATTATAAAGAGCCTTGGATTTCTCTTCTCTCACACTACCCCCCTCACCTTCCAATCTCACACCTAACATCAGTCACTATTCCAACTCGCAAACAACGATGTTCATCAAAGAATGGATCCAAGGATCGTGCATGATCTATGCAGTCATTGGTATATTAGCTCTCTCTCCATCTGTCCAGCTTTCAGAATCGCCCATGAAGCACTCGATTGTGCGAAGAAACGAGAAACACAAGTGCGATATACGATATGAGAGTCTGCCGACCGAGCGTCTTGCAAGTAAGCACCACTTCCCTATGAGCTGGAATTCGATCGCCACATCTCCTGTCTAACTTGTCTTCAAAAAAAAACCCCATCTGCAGCATGCGTAGGCTCTGATCAGATAGTTCATCAATGCGAGAAGTCGTCTTGTAATCAGGGTGAGTGATGCATCTCAAACAGTCTGAACGAACCGCTGGCATCTTTCCTCCTAACCTCTTGATTCCACACGGATCGTGCTGGATGGCAATAACTATGTAGCACTCACATTTGGTGACTGCCTGAGTATTATTGGCCCACGTGGTATTTTGGCGGGCGAATCACAACCTGTTATGAACCCAGAGAGTTATGTCGCGGGTCCCAAGTATATCAGTATGTTCTGAATTTGGCCTACTAGAGATCATTCCGATAGTTGCTTACACCCCCCACCCTCCCCCGTTTGTAGCCGTCCGCACTGGAGATAAAACACTGGGATGCGACTATTTTCCACAAAATGCATCGAGGCAATGTGAGTCTCTCAATCTTCAATCAATTATAAACAAGACACGACTGCACCAGACTAACTATTAGTGATCTTTTACCCCATGAACCAACAGCCTGTGACAAATGCCACATGTATAAAATGCCAAAAGTATAAACATGCATAGAAACCACCCCTGTTCAATCAAGCAAACTTCGATAGCGCATCCCGCTAAACATTGTACCTTTGTCAAACTGTGCAAGCCAACATTTAGCAAAGGTTTTGGCCGGTGCAGGTGTTTTTGTTGACCAATGAATCTAGTTCTCTTCCTCCATGTGCTCTTAACCTCTTCATTCAATCCCTTCCCGTATATGATCCTCATGTTTCATTGAGATATTCTGGTAGAACATCGATGCTAATGAGAGGTATATGTAAGTGTACTGTAGAATCTTGTATCTTTTGCCGATTTTTTGTATGGAGATTCCAGTTACATACTGATCTTATAAGGTGACCACCGGGTCTCGCAAATATAGACAATTCTCAGCGATCATCTTTGGAGCTTGAGTGTTTTATTTAGCCTTGATAGTGGAGGTTCCAGAAATTGTCCGGATAGGTGCTTCAAGTGACCAATACAAACGCTTTGAAGACACTGGACGACTTCCCGTCACATCTGCGGGTCTCCCAGAAGTGATTTAGAGGCCTCAAAAGCTAGATTTCCCAGCGAAATTCTAGACTTTTCGGGTCTAAATCAACATCTGTGAGGGTCCCAGATCTGACGGGAAGTCCTCCACTGTCAGGGTTGGTGGGGTGACGCCGAAGTCAGCAAGAGGGGCAGTACGAAAGTTGGCACCACTCATGGACATGTAGAGCGATAATTAGGGCTTCGCCACTGGTCACATTCAAGCATCCCCTTCTCCCTTCTCCTTCAGATGCCTCAGAAACACCAGCTACCGTATTCAAGAGTTTTTGGCCAAGGCGCCGATCATCAGGGTGGGTTGAGACCAAGACTTGTGGCATTGTGAAGCTGGAATATTTAGGAGTTACATGTGTATTTAATATAAAAACCTGACATTTGAAAATTGGAAATTGACCCTGGGCTTCCGTAGCTTGGACTTGTACTTGATTTGAGGCCCTGCTGAGCTACAGATCTAGGAATTTCTTGATCGATTTATAACCGCCGACGACTCAACGCCCGCCGCCGACTCATCAGCCGACCGATTCGATTTAAACGTCGCCACCACCATCAGACACCCCTTTAAATACACCTCAGCCGAGCGATCTCAAGCACGAGGGCTTCTCCATCCCATCGTGAGTTATGAGTCCCTCCTACCTATATTCTCAGCAAAAAAAAAAAACCAAGTGATAAGCCCACTTGGCAGCCTGCTTCACCCCTGGGCTTGGACTCGTAATGGAGGGGCCCTGCTGACAGACCAATGTATCTTCTGTCAGCCCAAGAGCCTCCCAAGGCCTCAGCAGCCTATGTAGATCGATCAATTCCATCGCCGAACAATTCCAAACCCACCGCCGGCTCGGCCGACCGATATAGATAACCTGCACCACAGCATCGGCCGTCTCAAGCCTCCAAGGTGAGTAAATACATAGCTAATCCCACACTTGGCAGCGAAGAGGCTACCAAGTGGGCATGCACACTTACTGAGATTGAGCGGCCCAGCTGATGACCAATGAGATTTAATATATCAGCTCTGCCCCCTCTTCTCAAACGATTGCGCTGAACAATTGCGGCTACCCTTTGTTGAGACGTAAGCCCAACACTCGCCAGAGCAGTCTCCAACCGGATCAAGGATGGCCTCGGAAGCTTGGCGGAAAACATGCTCAATACCACTCAGAACTTCATCTCTTGTCTATCGATCTACAACCAAACCAAACCCAGCTCATCTATCGAAGGTGAGCTCCATAAAATTATCATCCACTCATTCAGGATCATGACAATTCTCGATAGCCACAGATTCCACAGCACTCAAACCACACACTCGGGATGCTCCACCGGCGCTTATTCCAAGCCACCGTCTGTTCGATCGGACATCAGCCCTCTGCCAACAAGTCTGCCAGTCTGTTTCGATCACTGGTACCACACCGGGACTCACTGCGATCATCAAGACCGCTGAAGGGATGGATTCTCAGATATCAATCAAACAGCGCTTGCGATCATGATGCACCGAATGTACCGGCGGTCAAACTCAAAAGAATCGAGAAGGAACCAAAGCTGAACAACCTCATCAAACGAATCGAACCATACCTTGCTCTGTCAAGAGTCCGAGCCCCGATAGGCGCTGCACTACTCTTCCTTCCGTGCGGCTCGTCCCTCGCCCTGGCAGCCTCCAGCGCGGCAGTCAGCCCGCAATTCTTGATCGCACAGACCTGTCTTTTCGGCTTGGGTGCGTTTGTGATGCGAGGGGCTGGATGCACGATCAATGATCTGTGGGACCGCTCGATCGATCAGAAAGTCTCACGCACCCAGCTCAGACCGCTAGCCTCCGGTGCACTCTCTCCAGCCAATGCGATCGGTTGGCTTGGCCTCCAGCTTTCGATCGGCTTGGCCATCTTACTCCAATTGAATATCTATAGCATCTTGCTCGGTGCTTCTTCGCTCTCTCTGGTCATCATTTACCCTCTCATGAAACGGATTACCTATTGGCCTCAATTCGTACTAGGTATTTTCCCCCAATTTGTATTGCTCTACACACGAAACAAGCAAACAAAAAGTTGATCATTTGATTTGTTTTCTGTAGGACTGGCTTTCAACTGGGGTGCACTGCTTGGTTCATCAGCCATCCTGGGCCAGACAGACTGGAAAGTGTCGATCCCATTATATGTGGGACACATATGCTGGACGATCGTGTACGACACGATCTATGCCCAACAGGATAAGAAATCGGACGTCCTGGCCGGTGTCAAATCGACTGCGCTCCTCTTTGGGGCCCGCCCAGTACCGATCTTGGCCGGCTTTTCTACGGCCTTTGTAGGCTTCACAGCTCTCAGTGGCTTCATGAATGGCTGTGGGATCCCATTCTATAGCTTGGCGGTCATTGCTCCCGCCATTCATCTCGCTCATCTCCTGGCAAATCTCCAGCCGGACTCCCCTTCGGCCTGCCATAGTAGCTTCATCGCTAGCGCTATCACTGGTTCATTGGTTTGGGTTGGCTGTCTTCTCGACTATTGTACGAGATTCTTTCTGATTTGAAAGACTGATGTGTTACAGTATTATAAATAGGTGTTGCTGTATCTATTGAAGAAAAACAAAAATAGAATCAATGCTTGAGATTGGCTGTTTGTAAGAAGAAAAATGTACAGTGCCCTGGCACTCTTCTGTGTAACCCATGCGCCTGCAACATTATTTTTGAACTTTGACTGGTATGTTTGTCCACTCAAGTGAGCTTACATACATGTACTGTATATTTTTGGGCTCTACATAAGTGGTGTAGAACCCAAATCTACAACCACAACTTGGTAGGTGTAATAAAAAAAAGTTTCAATTTTTTTTTTTTTGGATTTGGAACATCTACCCAGGAGGGTCACAGTATGGAGTTCTAGGTATGTACTGTGGATTTATACAGTATGTAGTGTGCATGTAAGAGTTACATTTATTTGAAAACATGCAATAAAAGCTGTGCAAAATTCATTGTAGGGAAAAAAAAAGTGAGAATCCTTTGCAAAAAAAAAAAAAATGGAAATCTTGTTTTGAAAATTTGGAACACCCCCTGAGGGATAGCACAGAAGAGCCCCAGGGCACTGCATGCAAGCGGTAATGAGCTCTCGAAATGAATTTCGGGCTGCTGCACATAGTAGGACAAGAAATGGGTTCAATAGATACAATTACTTTTGCAGCCAAAAAGGAAGAAGTTTCTCATGAAAAATATCATAATTCAATTGTTGATCTTCTGCTGGAAGGTAGCTGGGTTCTAATCTGGTGCCCCAGAGCTGGATGTTACCTGTCCCCACACCCTTGACCCCTGCGGGTATCCAGCTTGGCGCCGTGTTTTGCCTGATCTTTTCTCAGATCAACAAGCCAAACTCTCAGGGGTGGAGCAAGGGCACTTTGGCTATCCAACACCACCTCATCCAGCCGGTGAAGCTCACAGGATACGTGCATCTTCACAATTATGAAGGGCTAACACAAAGACAGTGTTCCCCCCTCTGCATATTCCAGCGATTCATCCAGATCCAACAACATGTCTATAATTGAAAAAAGCCATCCATCTGCTGCTTCAAAGGCCTAGGTTCGAACCCAGAGCAAAGTTTGGGGTTTCATGTGAGACTCAGGCTTCTAACCTGAATTCTGGGGTCTAGCCCAATCCCCCTCACTTCTTCTCTCTGTTTCATGAAGCTCACAGGATATGTGTATCTTCACAATTATGAAAGGCCAACACAAAGACAGTGTTCCCCCCTCTGCATATTCCAGCGATTCATCCAGATCCAACAACATGTCTATAATTGAAAAAAGCCGTCTATCTACTGCTTCAAATGCCAAGGTTGGAACCCAGAGCAAAGTTTGGGGTTTCATGTGAGACTCAGGCTTCTAACCTGAATCCTGGGGTCTAGCCCAATCCCCCTCACTTCTTCTCTCTGTTTCAGGAATAGAACCTTCCTCTACCGTGAAGGCCAGCACTAGATCCCCCTTCTGATCTAAGGGGGCCCACTCACTGGTGGCCAATCAATTTAGAAGAAGTTCTCTACCAAGACCCTCACACATCCCTCCTGAAAACCCTAAACAATTCAGGGGACCAGGAAGGACTGTGGGTGGAACGATCAGGACCTCAGAGTCCCAATACCACCCAGAACCCATACAGAGACGGAATTAGTGTAGATAGATTGGATTGGTATGACACACTAGGATCCCTGCTGGAAATGGTGCAGGGTATCTGAGTTCTAGATCCCATGACTCATGCTGCGGGACTTTGAGTACTCCCTTATGCTGTGTGCTCTGCGCATCTTTTTTCATAATCCAAATTTTATTTATTGCTTTGTTATTATTTTATTTGTAAAGCATTGAAATACAGATTGAAATTTATTTATTAAAAACCAAAATGCATATACTAAAACTGGTCATTTTGCGTTGTGTTTAGTGACAAGCTGACACTGTGATTTTCTCTTCAAGGAAGGTCATCTTGAAAATTTTTTCTTCTTGAACAAAGCTGAACTGATTGATTGTTGAAGGTCCTCCTCTTGAGTCTGTTCTTTATTCTGAGATGGCGGCTTCTCTGCATTTGCAGATTTGTTTCTGAATTCCTTGGCAGGATCTTTGGATATCTGTATGAAATCCTCCTTGCTCATATCCATGTGATCAATGAGGTACTTGCTGGAAAGATTAGTCTTGATTCAAGGATCAAGTAAGGTTGAACAGAGGTAAACTGGTTTTTTTACTGCACAATCAAAGTACTCTTTGATTCTTGCAATCATGAGTATTGTTGGAAAAATTCAGTCATGCACCATCCTCACACGTCTCAAATTCATGTTATTTTTTCTCTCTTTTCTTTCTTTCCGCTCTCTCTTGCTATCCACTCTCTTCCCCGCTCTCTCCCCATCTAAACCTAATCCACTCTCTCTTGCTCTTGTCTAAACATATACTCTTATCACCATTCCTGACCTAACATCTACTCTCTCACAACCACAACTTGACAAGCCTGTTCTCTCATATATAAACTCATCTCTCCAACCAAGCAGTCTTTACCCCAAATCAATCTTCCCACTAAAATCTTGATCAACTATCTTTCATCACCAAAAATTGATCAACTACCTTGTCACCAATAAATTCACAACTACATCCTTCAACCTGTCTTGACTGCTTGTCTCTGTATCCTCACGTACCTTCCCCAACATTCCCTTCATCAACATCTCCATCTGCCTCTGTTTCTTTTTGTCTCTTCTTCTCTACCTTCTTTACACAATATCCCTCATCACTCAATCCCATCAACATTGCCTTCAACTCAAATCTCAATCTGCATTAATTCTAGTCACTCCAACCCGTCTTGTTGACACTCTCTCCAGGCTATTGCCAATTTGGTGAGGAAACAGACAAACTCTTGCTTGAACATTATCATTCTCCTCATTTGTCTAACTTTTTTTTCTTTCCTTTTTATTGTGTCTAAAAATAGTGTCTACTACTTCAGTCTCTTTGATCTTCTATACTTCAGCTTACTTGTTCTGTCTAACTCAAATACTAAGTCTTATTGTGTATGCTTTATAAATTTCATCTTGTCTTCAAAAATCTTTTTGTATTTTAATTATTTTAACATTGTCTCTTTTCATCAGCTCTGGCTCTAGTTTCAGTAATCCAACCTGGTTTTCATCAAGTATTGATGCGGGAATCAATTCCTGAGCATTGTACTGTGATCAAGCGGCCAAGCCTGATATGAGAAAGTTGAGGATCAATACAACACAACATCATTATGTTATTCTGAGAGGTTAAAATTACAGAGAGAATTCACACCTGCTCTAACATTTCCATAATCCATGTGTAAACCAGGGCTGCTAGCATCATTGATGGAAACTTTTTTTTTGAGATTATTTTGGTTGCTCAGAAGAGGGGATCAAGGAAGTTTCATAGTTGTCATATCCTTTTCCATTTAATTGGAGTATGGAAGGTTGTACTTGTCATTCAACAAGTTTTTCTCACAGAATAATTGGATGGTCTCCAGGATTTTGTTTGCTCTTTCATGCATGAGGAAGGTTGACTTCCAACAAGTAGGCACATCTTCCAGCAATACAAGATGCTCTCCATTCAAAGATTTGCCAAGTTCCTTGAATGCAGCAGCCTTTTTAGTGGATTGTTTCAAGTCATTGTGTAGCTTGTTGATTTGAGAGATGAGAGTAGACAAATTGACTTGTGGAGGTGGGTTGCTGAGAAGGCCAGCAAGTGTTGGAGTATTTGCTTGATGTGCAGATTTAGAAAAGGTCTTGATGCCAGCTTTAGCTGCTTAGTTTATAACATGGGGCATACAGCCAAGCATGCAATTCTCAGCATCAAAAGAAATGAGATTGTTGAGTTGTTTGCAGATGTGTTATCAGTGGTGATGCAAAAAAACTTGTGTGTCAAACCATATGTCTCAAGGACTTTTATGAGATGGTAAGCCAAGTTGATTCCAAAATGAGGACCATTGATCAACTTTTTTACCATGATCATGGATTTGAGCTTGTAGTTTTCAATCCAGTGTGTTGTGTTTCCCAGGAGTGATTTGTTGATAGGTGAGGTCCAGCCATCATATGTTGAGCTGATTTTTGAGGGGAATTTTTGAAGCAAAGATCTTAAATCTTGCTGGCCATTCATGAAAGTTGTCAGGACAAAATTTATAATTGTATTGGCCAAGGGGAGAAGGCTCTTTGTGACTGGGTTGTGCAGCTCAAGTAGGCTTCTGAACTCTGTGTGCTTGACATTTTGGTAAGAAATGTGACATTGGACAATGTATTGACCAACAGCGCACAATGACAAACATTCCAATTCCTACTGTCAATTGTCTGGGTCTTGATGTATTGTCATACCCTCAAGTTCCAATCTTTGGTTGACTTGAGGCCTTCTTCTAAATCCATTGGCCACCAGCAAGGGGGTCCTTTTAGATCAGGAGGGGTCCCTAGTGCTGGCCTTCATGGTAGAGGAAGGTTCTCTTCCTGAAACAGAGAGGAGAAGTGAGGGGGATTGCACTAGACCCCAGGGTGGGAGGGAGGTTCTGAAAAAGACTGGGATAGCGGGTATGAGACAGGGTAGCTGAAGTGAGATGTGTCAAGGAGCATCAGGAGATTTGAGGCTGAGAGTATTAGCGGGGTTCACGATAAGTTCTCGCAAGAAACCCATTTCGTCCCCGCAAGAAACCGCAGCATGCGCTGCGGTCTTAAATTAAAGCCTTAAATTTCAGACGAGAATTCTCGCGCAAGAAGTCCCCCCTCATTGGAAACACTTTCGGAGATTAGAAGTCAGTCATGCGCCAGCCGAGCGAACGTCAACAGCTCATCAAAGACATCTTCTTGATCCTAGTTTTCCTCGACCTTGAAGATACAGATAACCATCTCGATCAAGTACTCAACATCCCACAACAACCTTCTTTTGGGTCGATCTTATTCCCTAACAACCCGAATCTTCAGCTTTCTTGCGATAGATTTCTAGGCGATGAGGCGTGGCTGGAGGCTCTGCTACAAGTAATCCTATCCTGCCGTTACTTAAACGATCGTTCATCACCGAGGACTCACGGTAATTTCGACCTGGATAGACTTTTCAATATGCGTGACGAAGACTTCAAGCAGTCGGTTCGGACCACAAAGGAGGCCTTCTTGTGGTTACTCGACCAGATTTCTCTCCACCCCGTTTTCCATAGTCAAAGTCATCGTCCTCAGCTTCCGATTCCTCACCAACTGGCACTGACACTAGAGAGGCTTGGGTCGAATGGCAACGGTGCGTCGGTTGGGAGATTTTCGCGTAATCTTACAGTCGGGCGGGGAACAGTCATCAAAGTCAGTCGACGAGTCATCGAAGCAATTAACAGCCTTTCCTCAAAGCACGTTGTGTGGCCTGATCGGTATCGAAGAGCAGAAATCTCAGAGGTCATGAAGGACGAAGGCTTTCCTGGATGCGTTGGATTTGTGGATGGAACGACAATACCGCTCCACCAGCGTCCCGGTCTTGATGGAGAAGTTTATTGGGATCGGAAAAAAAAATATTCGGTCAACTGCCAAATAGTATGTGATTGTGATAGGTACATCACCTCGTTTACGGTAGGCTGGCCAGGATCCTGTGGCGATAGTTGGGTGTTCCGCAACACAAAGCTTCACACTCAAGCGGAAGCATACTTCGATGCAGGTGTGTATTTTGTTTGACAATTCTTGGTGTTTATAAGATTGCTAATTTTTTTTTTTGGGCCAAAAAGGTCAGTTTCTTATAGCAGACTCCGCATATGGGTTGTCCTGCACAACTATACCAGCATACAAAGCACCCGCCTCAAACAAGCGAGAAAATGCCGATTTCAACTATTGCTTGGCTAAATCGCGAGTCCGGAACGAACATACGATCGGAATCCTGAAAGGTCGGTGGGCATCGCTTCAACAACTGCGATTGCATCTTCACAAAAAGTCGCATATGAAAGAGATAATTCGTTGGGTTAGCTGTTGTGTGACCTTACACAACATGCTATCTAATTTGGGCGACGCTTGGGAGGTGGTTCATAGGTGGAACGGAGGCGACGAGGACGAGGAAGACGAGGTGGCACCCCTGACTGATACTGAGAGTAGTCGAAGGAGAGCCGAGCTGTTTCGCAATTGTGTACAAGAAAAATGCCTGGCCTTCCATCGCAACCAGGGCACAATTTAACCCTTCACTTTTTGTTTTCTCTTTAAAACCCTTTGCTCTTTGTTTTCTCTGTAAATGATATAAATGTGTGTTGTTGTATTTCATTTCTTTCTGATCAAATCAAATCAATTTCATTTAAACCACTCGTTCCTTCATCTATGCTCGGTGAGAAAAAAGCACAATTTCATTTCAATCGGTGAAAGGAAAAGATAAAAAAAATGGAAAAGAAAGGAACAGACAAAATTTCAATCGGTGAAAGGAAAAGACAAAAAAAATTTGGAAAAGAAAGGAAAAGACAAGTTCAGGGGGCCAAAGGAACAAAAGGGTAGAGAGGCTGAGAATGAACATGTTTGGACAGAACAGATTTGACCACCGTCTCTACACTAACTTCATCATCCTCTCAATCTCTTCAACACTCTTCCCTTGAGTGGTCCACAAATTTAACAGTTGTAATCGTCCCATTCGCTCACGACGTTCACAGTTGAATTTTTCCTTCTCCCAGTTTAATCGATCGCAATCTCGCTGGTATTCTCGATCGAATCGCCGCTCGTCTCGTTCGAGCTCTCTCTGCCACCTCGCTTCTTCTCTTTGGGCCGCACGAGCATCTCGGGCTTCCTCAAGGTCTGCTAGTCTTTGGTGATCGAGTAGATCCTTCTCTTTTTGGAGGCCAAACTTCTCGCGCTCCCAACTCATCTGCCTGTCGACTTGCCGCTCAAACTGTCCGAGTTTTGAGTCTGTCGTCCTTTCGAAGGCCCCTGCGAGTGTTGATTTGGCCTGACTCCCCTGAGATGGAGGTCTGGGGGGGCCTTCATTATTGCCGGTAAGAACGTTTCGCAATCGCGGGTTACTGTTTGGTGTATTCTCGGCATTAGATCCTCCGGCGCTTCTGTTCGATGACGACGAGACCACTCGAGATCGCGCGCGAGCAGGATTGGAACCTGGGGGAGCAAGAGATGTGGACGGATTTTGTTGATCAAGATCGACTGGATTGGCTGAAGGCGAGACCTGCAGAGATGCCATGCCTCTCTCTGCAGGATCCACACCAGATAAGTTGTGTTCCACCAGATCGGCGGGAAGCTCTTCGTCGGAGTCCGGAATTCGTTGGGCCCCTGCGATAGAAGTCTCGTCACCATTTCCCATCGTCGTATCCTCACGGTGACGCTCGTCAGCGCCACACATACTAGCCTCTTCCCCGCTGCGCATACTACCATCCTCAGTGTCTTGCTGACTTTCCTCCCAACCCGAATAAATTACCTCTGGGGAGCTTCCGTCAGAGTCACCGTAGAGGTTTGATCCATCGACTGAATCGTATTGCATACATGGTGTTACATTAGGCTTGGCACCAAATATTGCATCCATCCGTTCGTAGCATGGGCATTTCTCATTCAGCAATTCGCGAAGAGTCGAAACACCATGCTCTTCCTCTATTCCCGCACCCGTATTCTCCGCAAATTTTTTGGCCTCGGCGAATTTCTTCTTGTATCGGTCGATTCGCTGTCGAAGCTGAGCGCCAGTCAGCTTATATCTCTTGTTGCAGTTGCTGTTCAAGTAGATTGCAAACATCTCGTATGCAGCGGTTTTAGTAAGTGGTCGTGGTCCTACATCGGTTTGATCACCGCTACCGTAAAGCCTTGAATAATTCTCTGGGACTTCGAGATAAGAACAGATGAGTTCATAGTCCTCGATTGTAAAAGGGGCATTGGAGTCGGATTGTGATTGAGATTGAGATGATTGCGAAGATTGAGATCCATGACCGCCTGGAGTTTGACTCCCCTTGCGACCTTGCTTCTTTCTCTCTTTCTCGGCTTTAGCTCTCTCTCGTTCCAACCGTTTCTCCTCTTTTTGCTTCGCCAATTCCACACGATAGGCCTCCATCTCACGCTTTGTGCGTCTTTTCCGTGTTGCCTTCGCCCTCGCTGAATTCAAATTGTTTGAACCGGTTGACAAACCTTGAGACGCTACAGGTGTTGAAGGGACTTCGGTATCGGATGATTGAGTCGCCAAAGCGGGATCTAGATTCATCTGAAAACACCCCAGCTGCTAAGTAAGTCACCTATGCCTAGCATGTTGAAAAAAAAGACTTACTTGAAATAACTGATGCTTGGGGCCCACACAGATAGATCACCGCCGGCAAATTTGACCAACAGAACGTAAGAGGCAGATTGCAATTCCTACTGTCAATTGTCTGAGTCTTGATGTATTGCCATACCCTCAAGTTCCAATCTTCAGTTGACTTGAGGCCTTCTTCTAAATCCATTGGCCACCAGCAAGGGGGTCCCTTTAGATCAGGAGGGGGCCCTAGTGCTGGCCTTCATGGTAGAGGAAGGTTCTCTTCCTGAAACAGAGAGGAGAAGTGAGGGGGATTGCACTAGACCCCAGGGTGGGAGGGAGGTTCTGAAAAAGACTGGGATAGCGAGTATGAGACAGGGTAGCTGAAGTGAGATGTTGCAAGGAGCATCAGGAGATTTGAGGCTGAGAGTATCGGGAGGGCAGGGCTATAACTCTCCTTCTTCTGGGGGGAGGGAGGTCTGTGACCCATTAGCTCTACTTTGACCTCTCAGCTTGGCTCATGGCTCCAAGCACTTGTGGTCTTGGACTTCAGCCACATCCGCTAAGCGCTCCTGTCCCTCCCTGAGTATTTAATTGAGAAAGGTTGTTACTATGAGTTGACTGGTGTGTTTTGGGTGTGGTGAGTGGTAGTTAGTGTGTGATAATAACCCACCCCCGCTCAACTTCACAGTCCGCATTTAGGACAACTGTGACAGACCGGTGACACCTTGGGACATCTGACTCCAGGCCGCCAAAGGCGAGCCGATCCACCCCCAGACCGTTAGAGATGCTCTAAGCGACCCAAAAGCCCGCGATGGAGTTGCATTATGCATGTAATATGGGCGTCGGCAGAGGGTCGTGTGACTAACTTTGGTCGCACGACACGGTTGACCCTTCGAGGCTTGCAGGGGCCGCTTGAAGGTCACCCAACACCCTCACATTTCAATCAAGTTCACCTGCAGCAGCTTAGCCAGAACACATCCTTGCCAATCTGGTGCGAGCATTATGAGCTTGCCGAAGAGGACAGATGCATCAGCCGGTACGATATTTATGAGCTTGCTAAGGCGAGCTAGACCGTGCCTGTCCTAGCTTGGTGAGGAGGATGCATCTTCGGCAAGGTGACTCGGCTTGTACCGACGCGCCGGGAAGGATCCTCCTCACCACGGACCTGTACCAGCTATGTGAAAAAATTACATTCCATCCTAAAGGGCGTATCTCCTCAGTAAACTGGCACATGCTAAAGCGATCCGCAGGGAAGGATAGCTGCTCAACGAGCTGGTACTTGCCCTACCGTTGTTAAAAGTTGCTCAGCGAGCTAACAGAGGGAAAAAAATTACCCCGTTCACAGGAAGGCTTGAACAGCCAACCTGGGGATGGATGTTCTGCTGTAGTACGCTCTCCTGGGTGTCCAGAATGGTGGTCGCATAGGCATCCATCGCGCGCTTAACCATTGCGCTACGGGGCCGGTGACTTTTGTGGTGATGCAAGAGTAGAAATAGACTCCGGGGTTTTGCAGGGCAAAAAAAGGAGATAATACTGGGATTCCCAAGTCAGAAACTCCTTGGGTGGCAGGGCATATACCAGCTCACCGATGAGGGATCCTGCTGGACGAAGTGGTACGCTATGCACCGGCTTGCTTGGAACATACCCTACTTGGAGAAGGTGTATCCTCTTCAAGCCTCCCCGGCGAGCCTGCACAAGCCATGGCAGCTTGCCGGAAGTGTATGCTTTTCACCGAGCTGGCTATAGACCCGGTCCAGAAGCAGCTCGGGAAGGAGGATATATCCTCGGCCAGCTGGTAGCCTGGTGCTTGCTGGAGGGAATCGATCCCATTTATCATTTTACAAATCAGGTTTTCGTGGAGGAATTGCTTCAGGACAAAGCTCTCTCTAGAGAGAGGAGTTGATTTCATTCCGTGGACAGGCTGCTTAGGAAAAAAAAACACTTCAATTTCCCCGGCAGAGACGACTTCATCGAGCGCCGGTTTAGCAGGACTAGGTGAGATTCAAACTAACCTCACTCCATCCATTCACAACATTGGATTCTCCTCCTCAATGTATTAGTGCAACATACCTGAAAGACTGTGACCGACTGCAAGGTCTCCTGCATTTTCGCGATTTCCAGATGGAATTTACAAGCCCTTCCAACTGGTTCTATTTGAATAAGAGCATCCTACCACAACTGACAAGTGGGGATAAGAATGGGGAAGATCATGGCAATTGCAAGAATTGGGTTGGTTCATATTACTCTTACAATTTGATGATATCTTTTTATTCCTAAATAAGCAAAGTTGGTCTCTTTCCCTGTCCAAAAGTGACTCCCAATTCTCATCTCTTTACAGCCAGCTTAGAATACACGATGTTGAATTTCAGGAAGGAATTTCTGTAAACCATGGTTATTTGCCCCAGTATTTCCAGCACTATTCGTTGTCATGACCCCTGTCTACAAGGTTCAGATGTTCCAAAAGCAGACTACAACAGCTGACCCAAACTTCATAAAAGATATCCATGGTTCCTTATGGACAAATATAATGATAGATCCATGAAGAATAATCGCATGGAAGCAGAGATTTTGGGAAAAGGGCAGCTGAAGAACAAGAGACGGGAGAAGATTGATAGAATAGGGATGCAAGAGAGAGAAAATGACAGGGTTTTTCCATTGTGATTTCTTACAAGCAGAGTATGTATGGAGTGTGCAATGGAGTGAGAGGAGTCGAAGGGGTTCAAGTCTGAGTGGGCTACATAGATGGTGGTTTACGAGGCGCGCAGCCCATAAGTTTTTGTTATTTTTATTTCCAGTTTGGGCTCAGGTTGGCTTACACATGAAACAATCCTCCTCCTGTTGACCATCGACCTCCTTCTTCCATCAACCAAGAAAAACTTTTACAAATCCATACACTCACCTCAACCCGATCGTCTCTGACATAGACCATTCTACGTGGTGGCTGTCAAGATGAGCGACCCAGCGAGTGCGATCAATACCCAGCCCAACATCAGCTCCGAGCAAAACGGTGACCCCCCTGCCCCGGCGCCTGTCCAATCATCGTCCGCCCAGGAAACCTCTCAGACCTCTGCCCAACCACAGCCAGCACCCGGATCTGTCGATGACGAGGAACTGAGCGAGCAGCCTGGCGGCGCGTCCATCGATGGGGCTGGTGATCATTCCACAACTGAAGCTGTATGTATTCTGTGTTCCTGGTTCGACTTTGCTGCTATAAATACGTATTAATTTAGACACTCCGATTCATTCAATTCGAAGGCGGGTAAGCCAAAGACTGAGAGGCAATTGAGGCTCGACAATGAGAAGGCGGAACGGGCGATAGCGCGTAATGTAAAACCAACACATCGTTTCACACTTTCTATTTCAGAAAAGAAAAATGAAAATTTTCAGTATCAGTACCACACTGTAACAATTTACTAATCACAAGCCGACGGACCTTTCCTTGACAATAAACATATGTAGGACCAGAGAAAAATTGGAGATGCTCGCGACGAAAGTCTGAATTTTCGCAGGAAAGAAATGGATGCTGGCAAAGTCGCTGATAGTATCAAACGATTCAGTTATCTTCTTGGCCAAACCGAACTATTCAGACACTTTTGCGATTTAAAAGTGGGCCCTACCCTCTGCCCCGCATTTTTAATAAGAAAATAAATTACGATGGTGGAACTGATCGCGTGTTGATTCATTTCAATTATGGTTGGCGTTATTTGCTTAGGCCCAGCGAGAGCCCGAATTCGCAAAACTATTGGCCGAGAGTGAAAAAATGTGCAGCAAGAACAAAACCAAGTAAGTGGCAACCCCTGTCTCCTCTCCCCACATTCCTCATTCTTTCCCTACAATTGCGCGGCGAAACTTACTGTGCGATCGAAACAGGCCCAAAGGGCAGCATAGAGGACGAAAGACGGAAAAAGAAGAGGACGAAGAGCTATTGGCGGCCGATAAACAGGGTGATGATAGTCAATCGGCCGCAGATGACGAACCTTTCGTATTCACTGAATCACCAAGTTGTACGTCTTCAACCATGAGTTTTAAGTCACGTGGGATGTATCTCAGGGCTCACTCATCGTTCATTCTTTGAGTTTTTTTTCAGACGTTAAAGGGGGTACAATGAGAGATTACCAAGTCCAAGGCTTAAACTGGATGATTTCACTTTTTCACAACGGGATCAACGGCATCCTGGCTGACGAGATGGGTCTAGGCAAGACCCTACAGACCATCTCCTTCCTCGGATATCTCAAACACCATCGCTCTCTTTCAGGACCTCATCTAGTGATCGTACCCAAATCAACATTGGACAACTGGGTTCGAGAGTTCGACTTTTGGGTACCCGGCTTCAAACTCGTATCACTCAAGGGAAGCAAAGACGAGCGAGGAGACATTTGCCAGCAGATCTTGGCTCAAGATTTCGATGTTGTCCTGACGACTTATGAATTGTGTATCAGAGAGAAAGCGTCGTTGAAATAGATTCCCTGGGAATATATCGTGATCGACGAAGCTCATCGGATCAAAAATGTCGACTCGATGCTGAGTCAGATTGTCAGGCTGTTCCAGAGCCGATCCAGGCTACTTATCACCGGAACCCCACTACAAAATAACCTGCAAGAACTTTGGGCACTGCTGAATTTGTAAGCAGTTGAATTTCACGCATTTGGGCTCGCTGCTTCTGCGTGGTGGCAATTATGCTAATTAGACTTTTTTCAACCAGTCTTTTACCGGACGTCTTCAGCAGCAGTGAAGATTTTGACGCCTGGTTCGAGCGGAAGCGGAACGGAGCTGAGGATTCATCATCAGATGCTGAAAACAGTGTAGTGAAGCAACTCCACAAGGTCCTCCGACCCTTTTTGTTACGTCGAGTCAAATCAGATGTCGAGAAGAGCTTATTGCCGAAAAAGGAAATCAACGTCTACGTCGGAATGACGGAAATGCAGCGCAAGTGGTATAAAATGATACTAGAAAAAGATATCGATGCCGTCAATGGTGTCACCGGCAAGAAGGAAAGGCAAAACGCGAATTGATGAATGTCGTGATGCAGCTGAGGAAATGTTGCAATCATCCGTATTTATTTGATGGCGCTGTTGGTTTACTTTCAACTCACTACCCTTGAGCGATTTTCTTCATCACTTTCTAACCTCAATCCCATGTTCTTCCATTTCAGGAATCCCCGCCTTTCACTACGGACGAACATCTAGTTTACAACAGTGGCAAAATGATTATCTTAGACAAGCTGCTCAAGGCAATGAAGGCTAAGGGCTCTAGGGTGTTGATATTTAGTCAAATGAGTCGAGTACTGGACATCCTCGAGGATTACTGTTTTTTCCGACAATACGGTAAGCAATATCTTTTCTACTATTCCTTGGGGCCGTTTGAACTCATCACCATGTGAACTTTTTCCCCCACAGAGTACTGTCGTATTGATGGTCAAACCGCGCATGAAGATCGGATCGGAGCAATTGATGAATACAACAAGGAAGGAAGCTCAAAGTTTGTCTTTCTGCTGACAACCCGAGCCGGTGGTTTAGGGATCAATCTCACGACGGCCGATATTGTGGTGCTATTTGACTCCGACTGGAACCCTCAGGCCGATCTTCAAGCTATGGACCGAGGTTAGTAGAGACATTTAGTCCATCTATACACTTCTGTTGGTTACTCAATTCGATTTTACCAAACGTTTTCTAGCGCATCGAATCGGTCAGAAGAAACAAGTTTACGTCTTCAGATTTGTGACTGAAAATGCAGTCGAGGAGAAAGTCCTCGAGAGGGCTGCACAAAAACTTCGTCTCGATCAATTAGTCATCCAGCAGGGAAGGTCAACTGTTCAACAAAAAGGTTAGCTGGTCCCACGTTCAACCGAATAATTTCAGATATACTGACAGTCTTGTTTCTTTGTTCTCCCAGGCCAGAGCAAGGAAGACTTGGTTGACATGATCCAGCATGGGGCTGAAAAGATTATCAATTCGAAAGAAGACATGCTGGTAGACGACGACATCGAATCAATCATCCAACGCGGTGAGGCCAGGACAGCCGAACTCAACGCAAAGTATTCCCGGCTGGATTTCGATGATCTGGCAAACTTCAAAACGGAGAATAGTACTCAAAAATGGGAGGGTGAAGATTATGCCGGCCAAGCAAAAAAGAAACTGGGGCTCAACTGGATTGAACCTGCTAAACGAGAACGAAAGATGAACTATAGTGAGAATATATCGTTCAGAGAAATAATGCGAGGTGGCCCAGTTGCCCCCAAAAAGAAAAAAGGACCCAAAAAGATCAATACGTACGTTGCCTTTTTGACATCATCTATGGACACGTGGTTGTGCGTTAAACTGAATGAATTCTTCATTCAGGTCGGACTGGCAATTCTACCCTCCACGGTTCATCGAGTTGCAAGATCGAGCTGATTTGTACTATAAGGTGTGTCTAAACTGACTCACTGACTCTAGAACGCCGAAGAAAGATCACTCACTGGTGATTCCTTGGCCTTCAACAGAAAACCCACAATATTAAGGCCGAGCTACCCGAGCGAGATGAAGGAGACAATACGTCTCCAGAGGACCTCGAAAAAGAAAGGCAAGAGTTGCAAGCTGAAATAGATAATGGTGTGTGCGGAATCCCGCAACAATCAATCTAGTCACCATTCCGAAACAGGCTGACCCTCCTATTATTATTTTTTATAGCTGAGCCCTTGAACGAAGAAGAACTCGCAGAAAAAGCTGAAATGCAATCTCTGGGTTTTGAGGCTTGGACGCGAAGGGATTTCCTGAACTTTATCAAAGGCTGTGAATTTCACGGGCGGTTGGTTCTTTTCACTCTCCTCTTCAAAAAAAATTGACATGTTTATTGACCTGAGCAAAATGAATTTCTAAAAAAAAAAAAAAAACAGAAATTCGTATGACTTGATTGCCAAAGAAATTGAAAATAAATCAGTCGATGAAGTTCAAGAGTATGCTGAAGTCTTTTGGCAACGGCACGAAGAAATTGAAGGTCAGCTTTGTTTGGTAGACATCGAAAATGCAAGGTGATTAACATGTATTAATTTTGTTTGGTTTCGCAGATCATGCTCGATTTATCAGCAAGATCGAGCAAGCAGAAGCCAAGAGGAAGAAAGCAGACCGAACCGAGGAGCTCTTGCGAGAGAAAATCAGTAGCGTCAAGCAGCCGATGCAAAACCTCAAAATCCACTATGTCAACCAGACAAAAGGCAAGAGTTATAGCGAGGAAGAGGATCGATTCTTACTTGTTCAACTACATAGACACGGCTTGGGTAAAGAAGAAGTTTATGACCTGATCAAAAAGGATATCATTGAGAGTCCATTGTTCCGGTTAGTTGTTAAACCTCTTCTCCAACGGTGTTTTTAATGACTTTCGGTGCTGACATGTAGCTTTTACGCAGGTTTGATTGGTTCATCAAATCCAGAACGCCTCAGGAGATCATGAGACGATGCAACACATTAGTCCAGCTGATTGTCAAAGAACTAGACCCAGAGGATGCGGAGGAACTGATGAGGAAACGGGTGTCAAAAAACAAGAAGGATGAAGAAGCAGGCGGTGGAGAAGGCGGCCAGAATTCGGCGACGGCGGCCACTACAAACGGGGGTGGAGGGACGACGAACGGGAAAGCTAAGAAGCGAAAGACCGAAGATCATCTCGACCACCAAAACTCCCCCGCCGTTCAGGACTCTGCGGCTGCTAACAATCTTGCCGATTCAAACGCATCAGGTAACAGCACTCCTAACCAAAGAAAAAGAACACGCACCAAGACTTGATAGACCAGTGATCAATCATCATCACTCTCTATGCTTGATTTACATGGCCATATATATGTGTACACACCTCCTGGTTTGATAATCACTCGCTTCCTCTTCTTAATCTTACTTTTTTGATTTGTATAATTCTGACTCTCCCGCTTCAAGATCATGTGCAACAGCTCACATTTGTAAATGTTCTTTCTTTTACCCACTGTCTACCCTCTTCCCAGTTTTTTTTCCTCCCTTGTTTGGTTTCTTGAACTGTCTGTTAGCCCTATCTTTTTTTTTTCTTGGACCCAAAAAAAACAAATGAAGTATACAGTTTATAAGATAAGTAGAACTGGTTTTGCATCTCATGTGTGGCTGTGATGGATCCGTCAAGTCGGGTCTTTTTTGGCAGAGTTGGACAGGCTCATTGCTATCGAGAACAACACAGATTCTGTTTGAATGGCGCCGTTCAAGTCAGTGCTTGCTCGTTCCGCCGCCACCGAGGAGAATTCTCGCGCCGAAGTGAAATGATTTGACCATGTCTCCAGGATTTGCCATGTTGGCCGATGAATTAAGAAGCCGGCCGGCTAGTAGTGAGATTGCAATTTGGGCTAACGGCAGTGAGATCTTGTCTTTAGTCATGTCACGACCGATGAATTGGAAAGCCGGCCGGCTGAT